GCTACAGCTTCCCTTATGCCTCCCGGCAACCTTTGAGGCAGACAGTTATTCTCCCCAGTTTTCAGATGCAATCACTGAGGCGTCCAGAGGCTAGTTGAACTGCCCATAGTCACGCAGCTGGCAAATGGCGGGCCCAGCTTTGGAAGGCTCACTATGCCATTCTACAGCTAACAGCAGCAATGGCCATCAAACAACAAAAAGGGACTCACCAGCTGGACGCAGGCACGCCCCCCTCACCGTGGGGCGGGCGCGGGGAGCTGCAGGCCGCTGCTGCTGGAAGGGAGAGTTGGGCTGGTGTGGGGAGAGCTGCCTCCCCGCCTCCGAGGGTGAGGGTCCCGGGCCCCTCCCTGGGCTGCGCTGCTCTGCTCCGGCAGGAATGGGCTGTGGGCGCGCTCTGGCACTCAAGGAAAACGCTTCCAGCAATGGCAGCAGCTGCTGTTGCCGCAGCTCTGATTCCCAGAGGATCCCAAAGCCTTTCCCATCATTTTTGCCCTTTTTCAGAAACCACTTAGCCGTTGCCCCTCCTCCCACCAGGCCAGGGCTGCAGTGCACTTAGCCACACACAGCCCAGACCAGCCAGAGCTGTGACCTCAGCTCCCAGGAAAGGAGGGCGCTGCTCGGGCCTCCCAAACCCGCCACCCCACGGGCAGGGTGTCCAGGGGAAACAGCTCAACAAAGCAGGGTCACAGCCTGTCTCGAAGGCCAGGTGACAGGTGACACCGATGGAAGCTGAGATTCAGTCATTCAAATCTCACCTCCTTCAGATAGCCTCCTGCCACCTCCAAGGACCTGGCCTAAGATGCTCACCTCCCCATTCCTGCAGAACCCTCAACTGTGCCTTCTGGTGGCCATTGGTGCCTGATCCCAATGACAATAATGGCAGCGAGCACTCCCTGGGCCCGTGCAGTGTGCGGGTTCTGGGGTAGCACTTCAGCTGTGCCATCTCATCGGCCCTCGCAGGATTTCATGAGAGTGAGTATGATTTTGCCCATTGTAAGATAAGGAATTGAAGCTACGTGACCTGCCCAAGGACAGTGGTGAGCTCCCACTCTCGTCTGGAGCTTCCTAAAGCTTGCACGGAGCTCTTATCTCTCTGCTGTTCCTATCTTGCTTCACAGATTTGACGGCTCCTGGGTGAGGCAGGGCTCCGAGCCCTCCATTTCCCTTCTCGAAGCCTCGCCCCGTGCCTGGCCAAGGAGCTCGGTGACCCGCCCTCTCTGAGCGGCACTGGCACCCAGTGGCGGCTCCGCTAAAACCCGTGAGATGGTGGCGGGGACAAGACCGCAGGGCTGGGCCCCGCCGCCGCCGCCGCCCGTGTGGTTTTCTGGATGATGATTTGAACAGGCTGTTCTTGAGTTTATGTAATGATGTGCCCATTAAAATCCCTTGTAAACACATCATGTTTTAATAATGACTTCCAGTAGGGGGTGCTTCGCTGAGCTCGTGTGTGATGGGGACAAGAAGCAGAGCAGGTGGGAGGGCAAAGTCTTTTTTTTTTTATATAACTTTTTTTTTTTTTTATTGACTTGAGAGAGACAGGAAGGCAGGGAGAGAAGAAGGAGACAAAGAGAGAGAGAGAGACAGATTTCCTCCCGTTCGCACCCAAGTCGGGCATCAAACTCAAAACCCAGGTATGTGTCCTGACCAGAGTCGAACCCATGACCTCACGGGACGCACGGGACAACACTCCAACGAACTGAGCCACACGGGCCAGGGCAGGGAGGGCCAAGTCTTAGGTGGCCTCCGTTAGAATCGCTAATATCATGAAGGGCCCGTTCTCCCACTTCGTTTACCACCAGGGGGCACGTTGGCTTGCACTGAGCTCTCAACATGGCAAGAGGAGCCTGATTCATTTTCCTCATCTACCTGGCTCCTCACAGATCTGAAGCCAGACTTTCTGGCACGGCTAGCAATGAAAAGCCTGATTACCACAGCCGGGAACCGTCAGCCTGGCACCTCCAGGAGGGCAGGACCTGGGCGCTGCCAGCCGCAGCCCCCGGAGAGGAATTAAGGCACCGCTGCAGGTCCCTGTCACCCACCCAAGGGCAGTGACAACTCTAGTCTGGTCTCGAGCTTTCTAAATCTTGTTTTAACTTCTGATTTCTGCGTCTTGCCTCCCAGATTTGGAATGGCTTCCGGGGGTCCCAGATCCAGATGACAAACTATTATACAACCCTGACAGCAACTTAACTTTCCTTTCTGCATTCGGCCTGCGCATGAGTGTCACCAGGTGCCACTGAGTCTGAAAGACCAGCTCATGTGATGGGCAGGGCTCTGCAGAGGGGTCAGCATGCCCTGAAAGGGGGTAGGGGCTCGCGGCTGTGCTGGAGGTCAGGATCCACTCAGCAGCTGACTCTGCACTGACAGCCAAGCCTGCTCTGCTGAGCTGGGACCCAGGGCAGGGACTGGAGCAAGAGTGAGAATATGATGAGAGGGTCAAGGTTGTGAGCAGGCAATGGAAGCCGGGAGAAAAGGCCGGGCTGTGCCAGACGCTGGCTGCATGAACCTGGGCGACGGCTCTGGGCCTGCTTCTTAATCCACGCCATGGGGGAGCGCCTGCCCCGCCTGCTTTTCGGGGCTTTGCTGGGGATTAGCCCTGACACTGGGTGTGAACGGGCTCTGAGCCGGCAGAGCTCCAGGCAGGCATGCCCGTTGCTCTCATCCTCATTATTTCAGCATGAGAACCACATCTGCTGGCTGCAGAGCTTATCCGGCCATTAGCTTGAGGTTGGGGCTAATTGTTTTTTAATTTTAAAAAATTTGCTTAATGTTTTATGAGTCACCCAGTGAGCATGTCTATAGCACGAATAGCTCACTTTCCGATTAGCCTGTCCGTAACCTGTCTGTAACCATGGCTACGAAAAGTCAGTCTCACCAGCCCCCTTTCCTGCGGGCCCACTATGCACGTAGCGAGCACACAGCAGTGAATGCGGTGAATAGATGGTCTCTGACTTTAAGGGCAGGTGAGGAAGGTCTGCCGGGCTCTGTGACGCTTATGGAGCGGGGCTTCCTGAAACAGGGACAAGCCGGGGGGCCACAGATGCCAGCGGCCACTGTGATCCCGCAGCAAATGTGCTGCTAGGGAGACTGCAGCAGGCGATGGCACTGAGCTGGGAGGAGACCATTTCAAAGATGGGCCCCAGCCCAGGTTAAATGTTGGAAGAGGACAGGACAGAGAACACCTAACCTGCCATCATGAGCTTTTCAGCCCACTTGAGAAGAAAACGGAGAACATGAAAGCCACATGAACATGATGTGGGGATAGCCAGTTCCCAGGGAAGGGTGTATGTGGCAGAAGGTGGGGGAGCGAGCGGTACTCGCACCCTGCAGAGGCTCCAGGCCGCGTGCAATAGGAACAGCAACAGGACTGTTTGCGGACAAGCCTGGGCCCCAGGAGGCTCAGCCCTCAGGGGTGGAATAGGAAGCAGCCACCCTGGACGCTGGGCTGGGCTGCCTGGGCTTGCAGGACATCCTCCGTTCTAAATCTTCTATTTACAGGCTCCATCCACAGCCCCCTGGCACTTCGAGTCAGAGGCCAGCTGTCCTTCAGCCTCTCCTGGGGGCACCTTCTCCCCCAGGGGATCCAAGATGAGGGCACCTGACCTCCCTCTGGCTGAGAGAAAAATTATACAGCTTTCCTGAGTGATCTGTTTCCCCCAAAGCAGAGGTGTTTTTATTCAAGCGACAAGGCTCGAGAAGAATGAGTTTTAGTATCCTAAGTTCAATTAGCGCAGCCAGGCAGCGTCACCTAAGAGCGTCAGGCAATCACGTCATTCACAAAGTGACATTTACAAAGAGACGACATGACTGCTTCCCCAGTGCACAGTTGCCTGGGTGCCTCGGCGTCTGCCTGAGGCTGGCATGGCCCTGGGGAGTCTGGAAACAGACACAGCGATGGCAGCCTTCTCCTGGAAGCCACTCCGTGGTCATCCCCGCCGACCATGGGAAGGTTTAAGATGCTCTGCGGTCCCTGCCAGCATGCTGACTCCAGTGGGATGTTTCTGCAAGCCAGGAACACGTGGTGGGACGGCAGGGCTCACGCCAACAGAAAGAAGAGCTGGGGCCTCGGGGATAAGGGGTCCTCTCTGACTAAATGGGTCATCTCTCTGGTGGGAGCATGCCTGGGTGCCTCAGAGTCCGCCTAGGAGCTCCCAAGGTTGTGCAGAGGCAAAAACACACTGCTGCACAGATCCACTCCCAGAAAGGGCCCTGCGGTGTCTGGGCAGACTCGGGGGAACAATGTGAGTGGTGGGACCACACAGCATCCACCTCCTGCTGGTCATGCTGTCCAACTCTCCTTCCCTGTCCCCTGCCCTCAGACCAGCTGTGTTGTGAGGACCTGGGGCCGCTCCAGCACAGCATCCTCTGGGGGGGAGGGGGTGGGGGGGCAGGGGGGAGGGGGGAAGTACGTGGCAAGAAGGCAGGCACAGACACCTCATCTTCATCTCAGCCCGCCTGCCCCACATAGCCAGCTGCAGCCAGGGGAGACTGACACTGGAAAGGGGTCATGTGGTCCAGTCCAGGCAGAAGGACTTTTCTGAAAGTACATGGGACCCGAGTCAGAGCTTTCTATCCCTGGAAACAACCAATCCAAAAGCTGGAGGTGGGGTGGAGGGCGGGTCGTCTCTCTGACTCAGGGCCACAGCCACCAGGCATTTTTGGTGTCTGAAGCCCACATTTATTTTCTCTTTGTCTACGGGTGAATCACAGGTGAGCGGGCTGACCATGATGCTGGGTTACTTTCCTCTTTTCCTTTATTCCACATTGACATTGGCAGCCGGCTCCCAGGTGAGCCTCTCAGAGGCACTGACTGGGGACCTGGTGGCTGCATCAGTAGCGTGTGCCCTGGAGAAAGTTCGTGGTCAGCACGGTGGCCTGAGAACAAACATTGTTTGAAAGCTGCCCACATTGCTGTCCAGGAAAAGGTTGGCTCCACGATCACGTCAGGGATGTTCTTTAGATAAAAATGGCAACAGTGCTTTGGCCAAAGAGGGTGCGGACTAAGACTCCTCCCGGTGGCGGTGTCTCTGGAGCATGACCAGTGCTGCCCCCAAGGCTGCGTCCACATCCTGCCCGAAGGACACCGGGAGAGGGAAAGCCCGCTGCACCTCCTGCTTCAGCACCTCGTTCCTGGACAGCGCACTCCCACTGCTGACCACCCGCTCCACGCCCCACTCCCGGAGCTGCTGGGAGGGAAGCATGGAGTGCAGGTTCTGAACAATGCCTCGGCATAGCGCCCGCGTCACATGCCCCAGCGAGAGGGCCGAGGAGGAGATCCTGGTCACTGAGGCCAGCTGGTCTGGCAGATGCCTCTCGCCCAACACCGTTGGCGTGATGGTTAGGCAGGTGTCTCTCTGCTCTGCAGCTGCCTGGATCATGCGTGAATACACAGTGGATTCTTCGACCTCCACGCCTGTCAGGAACAGAGAAGACCGTGTGAGCTTATGCACCCCTCGCTGCAGGAAGAGACAGTACAGCATTCCCCAAGCAAGGAGAGGTCTACTGACTTCTTCCTCTCAATGTGGCTGGCTGCTTTCTGCTCAGGGACTCACATAACCTGACTAGCCAGGCTCGGCCCCAGATCTCAGCAAGCTCTCTCACTGCAGACCCCAGCCCAGACTTCAGGGAGAGGTCATGTAAAGGTTGCTATGCACCCTCACCAGCTATGAAATCTTTGGTCCCAGAGGGCCATCAGGCGCGTACTGATCAATAAGTACCATCCTGACTTCACCGGACTTACCAGCAGAGTCACAGAATCCCAGGATCAGAGGGCTGAGCATGGTCTAGCCGTCCCCTGCGGAAGTAGCGAACCCCAGTCTAGACCAGTGCTTTTCACATTTGACGATGCATAGGAATCATGTAGGGATCTTATTAAAATTACAATAAGGGAAGTAAACCTAGAGTAAAATCAGCAGCACATTTAACCTATACAAACTTTACTATAGCCCTAGCTGGTTTAGCTCAGTGGATAGAGCGTCGGCCTGCAAACTGAAGGGTCCCGGGTTCGATTCCGGTCAAGGACACATGTTTGAGTTGCAGGCTCAATCTCCAGTAGAGGATGCCAAAGAGGCAGCCAATCAATGATTCTCTCTCATCATTGATGTTTCTATCTCTCCCTTTTCCTTCCTCTTTGAAATAAAAAATAAGTATATACATTAAAAAAAAAACTATATTGTACATGTTCAGCAACTAGAGAGAGAGAGCTTTTTAAAAAAGTCTTTTTGCATTTTCATGGTTCTTATTTTGAGAAACCAAAGAGTGTTTTGAAAGTTTGTGTATTCCACATAACTTTTATGAAAATTTTACAATTAAGTCATTTTATTGAAAAACATATAAATGCAGCCCTAATCAGTTTGGCTCAATGGATAGAGCGTCGACCTGCGGACTGAAGGGTCCCAGGTTTGATTCCAGTCAAGAGCATGTACCTTGGTTGTGGGCACATCCCCAGTAGGGGGTATGCAGGAGGCAGCTGATCCAGTGTTTCTCTCTCATCGATGTTTCTAACTCTCTATCCCTCTCTCTTTCACTCTGTAAAAAATGCAATAAAATAAAATAAAAACATACAAATATGATCACATGTATTTAGATAAAAGACACATTTATTAACCAGAAATAGAAATATTACAGCATAAATTACAAAAATAAAACTCTTGCTGTATTCAAAATACCCTGAATTTTCACAGTCAAAATTTGATCAGCAGGACTCTAGTTAAGCTCTGCTGAATAAATATGTGTCTTTCCTCTAGAAATTCTACTAAAACGTCAGGAAGCTCATATGCTTGGTGGTAACCTAGTACAGGTGTACAAGCATGTACATCTATAGGACTGAGTCCTTGGAGGGAACTTTTAGGTCAAAAGATATGCACATAACACTCCCTCCCTCCTTAGAAGCTGCACCAACTTACACTGCACAGCAACACATAAGAGTGAGTCTCTCCATGTCCTAGCAAACAGAGTGTGTTGGAAACTTCTAAAAGCACAGCTATAAATGTAAAGCCATCAACTAATGGGGAAAAAAAGGGAAAGGAGATAAAAAAAAAAAAAATAAAACAGATCAATCAAATAGAAGACATAAAGACTAAGGAGATGTGATGACTAAATGCAATGTGTATCCTGGATTGAGTCCTGGAACAGAAAAATGGCACTAGTAGAAAAATCACTGAAACACAAATAAGATCTACAGTTTAAAAATAATAATGATGTGTTTGTATTTCTTTAATAAGAACTCAAAAATGTTTTTATTGCTTATCTTTGTTGCAATAGCACATTCTCAAAACTTTTTTTTTAAGCCTCACCTGAAGATTATGTTTATTGATTCTAGAGAGAAAGGAAGGGAGAGAGAGGAGTGGGGGAGGAAGAAAAACACCGAGAAACATCGACCAGTTGTCCCCTATACACACCCTAAACCCGCAACCTGGGTATGTGCCCTCACCAGGAATTGAACCCTCGACCTTTCAGTTTATGGGACGATACTCCAACCAACCGAGCTACACCAGCTAAGGACGTGTTCTTCCTCACTGGGAAACACCTAGGCCCCACGCAGGCCTTGAGGAGCACCTGCAGGAAGGTGCTCACAGCTGGAGGCCTGGGAGATCTGGCTTCTAGCCTCTGTCTCTGTGTGCCTTGGCTCACTGCCTCATCCGAATCTACGGGTGAGATTAACTGCTGTGAGTTGCCAAATGTCAACACCACGGGCCTAAAATCATAGAACATTGGAGCTGGGAAAATAGAGAAGGGAAGGGACGTCCCAAGGCCACATAGTGACTTGGAGACAGAGCAGAGAGCCGAGGTCACGCCCTGAGTTGAACTCACCACCCAACCTTATTTAACAAGCGTCATATCACACTCACTATCACTACGGGCCAGCGCTGTTCTCTGTGCTTCCCAGTATTGACTCACGGAACCCTCCCAGTGGAACCCTCACAGTCCTTTGAGGTAGGTACTAGGATGACCCCCATTCTCAGGTAAGGGAAGTAAAGCGCAGAGGAGTTAAGTAACCTTCCCAAAGGCACGCAGGAGGAGGCAGAGCTGAGATTCAAGCTCAGGCCGCCAGCCCCAGGGGCCTGCTCTAAACGACCACATGAGTGTAGAACTGCCTATATGCTAACCTCTGGAACAAAATGCAAATTCAGCAAAATTCTAAATCCAGCAAGAGTTTTGCTTTTGTACTTTATGCTGTAATATTTCCATTTCTGGTTAATAAATATGTCTTTTATTTACATTTATATGTTTTTCAATAAAATGACATAATTGTAAAATTTTCATAAACGGTCAAGTAATATGGAATCCAGGAACCTTCAAAACACTCTTTGTTTCCTCAAAATGAGAACCAAGGAAATCAGAAGAGACTCTTTTGAAGGATCTTACAGGGAAAGTGAATATTCCCAAGTCATTCAGGGGCAAGAAAACGTGTCACTTCTGTAGAAAGAGCAACACTGGCCAGCTCAGTAAACAACTGAGAGACCCAATCCAGTTAAACCAGTGCCTTATTGCCCGAAGGTTCTCATAACTGGTTCCGCATCTTGAAACCCTCCCCTGATGCAGGTAAAACAAAATCCAAGTCCTGTCATTTAAATAAAGCCATCCTGAGGACACCCCAGCCAAGAGGCCAGAGCTCCCCACAACCCTGACCTCCAAGGTCCCTGTGAGTCAGCGGCACTGTCTGGTGGCTGTCGGTAAGAGCCGCCCTGCCCCCTGCTGCCTGGCATCCCCCCCATGACTGTGTTGGGTACCTGGTTCTTGGAATGGCCCGATTTTGAGCTCCTACTGGTAACCAGTAAATCTGATCAGCATGCTCTCCCTAGGCCAGAAATTTCATTTCTACCATAAGTGGCTGAGAAGGTTTCACGTTTCTCTGTGAGTGCAAAGCAGAGGAAAAGCCAAACCAAACCAACTCTACCCTGAAAACTGGAGACGAGAGCAGGAGGACCCCAGAGTCTCCAGGGACCCCCCAGAGAGAGGGCCTCAGGACCCTACTGGCCAGGAATAAGTGCTATGATGATTTTATAATATTATAAAATACCAGATTTTTCACTCCTTCGTCTTTGATCCTTTTATTTTCAGCTGTCTGTAGTCTTCAGAAGGAAAACCCCAAATGCAAGGGGGGCTCACTGACAAAGAAGTAAGACAGCAGGGCAGGGGAGAACTGGGAGACTATCTGACACACCGCAGTCAAGGTCAGGCGAGAGTAGGGGGTGGCAGCTCAGGAGATGAGAGGAAAACAAGAGGCTCAGATTCCTAAGGAAGGAAGAGAGGTTCTGGGTCTGCCTGGGTCTGAGACGTGAATCTAGAAGCTTCTGCAGCACGTTCACTGCCGTGATGAGAGGACAAGCAGAGAGGCAGCGCTGCGTGGGCCACATCTTACCGAGATCCGCCGTCCACCGGACCAGCATCTGGACGAACGTGGCCAGCACATTGCCCCCGTTGAGGGAGGCTGCCACTGCCAGGTAGGTCCTGTCGAAGTAGGGGAAGTAGGCGACCGGAGCTGCAGGGTCTGGAGTCTGCGCTGGCTGGAACCCTGACGGCATGGAGGCTGCCAACTGAACCGAAGTGCTGATGTTGAGAACTGGGGCCCAAGGAAAGCAAAGGTTAGGTCTGTCGGGCTAACTTGGAGGTCACAGACACAACCGGGCAGGGGGAGAGTGTGCTGGTTTTGAAAACACGTCCAGTCCAGTCGGCAACGCTCAGTGGTTGAGTGTGGAACTATGAACCAGGAGGTCACGGTTTTATTCCCCTTCAGGACATATGCCCGGTTGTAGGCTCGTTCCCCAGTAGGGGGCGTGCAGGAGGCAGCTGATCAATGATTCTTTCTCATCGTTGATGTTTCTATCTATTTCTCCCTCTCCCTTCCTCTCTGAAATCAATTTAAAAAAAACAACTCTTTTAAAGGTCCAAAATTCTTGAATACTATTTCTTTCCTTCAGGAGGTGAAGCCTAATTGCCCTACCCTGAGTGTGGGCTGGACGCAGTGACTTGCTTTTAGTGAGAGAATAAAGCAGACGTGACAGTGTGTGACTTTGGAGACCGAGTCACAAAAAGCACGGCAGCTTTCATGACGCATGAAAATTATATGAAATCCACATCGCAGTGTCTATAACGAGCTTTATTGGAACGCAGCTATGCCCATTCCTTTACGAGTGGCTGTGGTTGCTTTCATGCCCCAACAGCAGACACCGCATGGCCCACGAAGCCTGACATATTTGCAATCCGGCTTTTTGCAGGAAAGGTTTGCCAACCCTGGCCCTACACTGCTGCCTCCACCTCCCTGTGGCTCTCGTACACAGGGAGGACTCGTGACTTTTAACCAGATGGGGCAAAACTCTCACTGACAAGCACACAAAGACAAAAACCCTTGTCTCCTCATCTATTTCCTTGGTCATGGAGTTACACAGAAACCAGCCAACTAGAGAGCCATCCCCTGCCCTGGCCCTCAGGAGGAAAGGCCCAGACCGGGGTCAGGGGCAGAGCTGGGTTGCTGCGGTGTAAGCTCCCTGAGCGGGGGCTTCACCTGCAGAGGGAGGGTGTTTCTCACGTTTACAGAATATCGGTGAAAAGCATGCCGAGGCTTCTAGGTATGCGTGCCTCCTGGACCCTCACACAGAGCAGAAGTCTGAGGAGAGGACAAGTCTTACCTGCGTCTGTCCTCTGGGCCATACAGGAATAGACGGAGGCCTGCAAATCACCCAGGGCCACGCCCACCGGTGTCCCCTTCGGGATTTCAAACCACGCATGGGCAGTTCTGCCTGCCACGCTGGCAGGCTCGGCAATATCGGGGAGCAGGTGGACAGGAAAGCCGGAGGCCCTCAGTCTGCAAACGAGAAGCGGACAGCGCATTTACAGTGCCTGGCTTTCTGCTCTTTGTTGTTTCCAGAAAACACAACAAAGAAAAACACTGCAGGGTACACATCGGAGAAGGGAGAGGAGAAGCCAGTGTTTTCACAGGAGTCTCTCTGACTTTTTGAAAACTACAAGAAATAAGCTGGGATTTTTTTTTAATTTTTTTTTTTTACAGAGTGAACACTGGCCCGGCTGGTGTGGCTCAGTGGTTGAGTGTCGACCTATGAACCAGGAGGTCACATGCCTGGGTTTCAGGCTGGATCCCCAGTTGAGGGCGATAGGAAGGTTTAGATAAGAGCAGGCGGCATATCTGGCCCCTGTGTCTGAGGGGAACACAAACACCCTGCAAAGGGAGTTTCAGTGCAAAGTTATGGTCGGTTAGCACGGGCCACACCAGAGTCAAACCCATCAGGCACCTCCTGAACACCAAATGCACTCATCACCCGGGGTTAGTGACGGGGCTGTGAGTGTTATAAAGCATGCTAGGAAGTCCTTTACCTGAACTACCGGGTGCTTTTTGTTTTATTACAGAGCTCAGAATTGGGGCCCTGAAGGAAGGACTTATAGGGCACTGGACTTCTGGACCTGAAAAGGCAAATGATTGTTTAAACAGAACTTAAAAGGCATCTCTCGCACCTACTGCTTCCATTTCTTAACCTTTCTTTAAAATATATTATAGCGTGAGGGTTGTTCTTTGAAATCTGTAGGTTGGGCCGGGTCACAAAGAACCGGGGAGCCCACCCGAGGTATTGGGCACCTTGGGGATCAGGGCAACCCTCCCCAAGGGCTTCACCTACCACCAGGCCCACCCAGGCCCAGCGACGGGAATGCCCACGGTTCCCCAATGGGAAAGCCCAGTGAATCTCCGCTCCAGGGATCCTGCCCTTCCGCTGGAGCCAGCCCGCAAGGCTATACTCACATCTCCGAGTTCCAGCTTTGGCTCTGGGTGTTGAAATATCCCCAGCTGGCAGCATTCTGGTCAGACATCAGGGGTCTTGGCAAGTCACACAGCATGGCAACCACATAATCATGGATGGTGCCAGCTGCGTCGTAGCACTTCAGGAACTCGGGGCTGTTTTTCATACCAGAAATAATTCAACATAGTCTAATGGTGACTTAAAAGCCTGGCCTACACCTAGCGGTGGGCAGTGTGGACCAGACAAGGCAGAGCTGAGTGGCAGCCGAAACCCCACGTGTGTGTGGCTCCCCCAAATGGACCTCTTGAGGTGTGGCCCTCAAGCAAAGCTGCCTTTAGGGGAGGGGACATCGGCCGGCCATTCTCAGCAGCCCTGACCCCACCATGAACTCACTACATGACCCTTGGCAAGTCCCTTGTCCTCTCAAGCCCCCCCCCTCTCCCTGCTGGTTAGAACAGGAAAACCATCAGAGAGCCCTCTGGGAAGTGAAGCAGCTCTAGGCCAAGTCTAGGTCACACTCACTGAGGGATGGAGTGATGCTGACCAGGCAGAGGAGCTGCCCCCTAGATTCAGAGAACAAGTGTCTGTACCTATGTTTCAAAAGCCAGAAGATGGTTGCACAGCCGAACCCCGTGGCCACACTGAGATGGGAATCTGGCCGGGGCAGAGAAGCCAAGAACTCACTGCCACATCGACCATCCTGCCACGTGACCAGGTGGCTCACAGCTCCGGGTGTGAAGACTGGGGCAGCCCCTCCCTCTGTCCACTCACAGCCTGGAACAAAGGAGATGAGCAGAGTCAGAGGAAAGGGCAATGACCAGCAGCAGCATGTCTTTGAGGTGCTCGGCCAGTGAGGTTCCAGCAGACCGTGTCACCCATGAGAACGTTTCCCTCGTCCACATGGTTCCATCAGAGCACCTTGGTGAGCACCTGGCTCCCCATCCACAGCTCTGGGATGCTGGGCAAGCCACTCCCTCCCTCCATTTGTCCCACTTTTCCTATGTTTCTTTTTAGTCACTTTTTTTTAAAATATATATTTTATTGATTTTTTTTTTACAGAGAGGAAGGGAGAGAGATAGAGAGCTAGAATCGTCAATGAGAGAGAAACATCAACCAGCCGCCTCCTGCACACCCCCTACCGGGGATGTGCCCACAACCAATGTACATGCCCTTGACCGGAATCAAACCTGGGACCTTTCAGTCCGCAGACCGACGCTCTACCACTGAGCCAAACCGGTTTCGGCATTTAGTCACTTTTTAAAAATCCCCCCCAGTAAGAAAATAAGTGTAGCACACTCTCCTGTCCCATAACCTTAGAACTCACATCATAATGAGATTATCTAGACTTAAATGCTAGGGATATAGAATATGAGCAGCAAATACACAATACCGGGTACTTTTAATTGCTATGAAAATATATACAGCAGGGTAAAAGGATAGAGTGATGGATTATTAGAGAGTGATCAAGGAAGTCTCTCTGAGATGCCATGAACAGGACCTGAACAGAATAAGAGAGAGAGCCATAGAATATCTGGAGAGTCCTGGCTGGCATGGCTCAGTGGTTTGATTCCCAGTGAGGGCATGTGCCCAGGTTGCTAGTTTGGCCCCCAGTTGGAGTGAGTGGGAGGCATCAATGTTTCCCCTCTCCCTCTCCCTTTCTCACTATCTAAACAAATCAATAAAAGCAGATAAAAAAGAAAGAAAGAAAGAAAGAAAGAAAGAAAGAAAGAAAGAAAGGAAGGAAGGAAGGAAGGAAGGAAGGAAGGAAGGAAGGAAGGAAGGAAGGAAGGAAGGAAGGAAGGAAGGAAGGAAGGAAGGAAGAAAAGAAAGAAAGAAAGAAAGAAAGAAAGAAAGAAAGAAAGAAAGAAAGAAAGAAAGAAAGAAAGAAAGAAAGAAAGAAAGAAAGAAAGAAAGAAAGAAAGAAAGAAAGAAAGAAAGAAAGAAAGAAAGAAAGAAAGAAAGAAAGAAAGAAAGAAAGAAAGAAAGAAAGAAAGAAAGAAAGAATATATATCTGGGGATGTGTGTGACAGATAGAGAGAGCTCAGAGTTCTTGTCAGTCTCGGGTTGGTATCCCTGGCCAGTACCCGGAGGACCAGGGAGGCGTGTGACAGATGCTGCACCTGAAGCATAGCATGCTTCTCCCGGGGATGGGTGGCTCCTCCTGGGAGTTCCCCTCCCTCACAACCCATTCCTGCCTCACCCTAACGCTGGGCTCTTACCCGGCCCTAAAGCTGCATCTCTGCGGCTTTTCTTCAGCCGTCATCTGCTTCCAAAATCCTTTTGATATTTTCATTTTTAGACTATCACCTTTCTTTTCTTTGTATTATAAAGCAAATATGGAGTACCTGGTATTATCCAAAGCACTTCAAAAATTAATTCATTTAATGTACATAATAGCCTTATAACATAGATGTGATAATTAGCCTCATTTTACACATAAGAAAATGAAGAACAGAGAGGTTAAAAATCATTTGCCAATGTTCACCTAAGCAGTAGAGTCGCAGCCTATTTCAGTGTTACAGAATCTGATTCTTCTGTTTTTTCTTTCTTCTTTTTTCTTGCCTTTTTTTTTTTTTTTTTTAAAGAATTGCCATTTTGATTTTTTTAGTTGCACATATGCCAAGTGAACACATTCTCAATATAAAATGTTCAAACATTTCAGACCAAGCAAAGGCCGGCTTGATGACTCCACCAGAGCCAGGCCCCCTTCCTGTCACTGTCAGCACTGGTCGGGTGACCATCCGCAGTTCACGCTCACACATATTTTGGTTGGTTTGGTTGGTTTGAGTTGGGTTTGGGGTTTTATTTTGTTGTCTGTTTTTTTATTTTTTATTTTCTTTAAAATATATTTTATTGATTTTTTACAGAGAGGAAGAGAGAGGGAGAGAGAGTTAGAAACGTCGATGAGAGAGAAACATCGACCAGCTGCCTCTTGCACACCCCCAACCGAGAATGTGCCCACAACCAATGTACATGCCCCTGACCAGAATCAAACCTGGGACCTTTCAGTCCGCAGACCAACGCTCTACCACTGAGCCAAACTGGTTTCAGCTGTTGTTGTTGTCTGTTTTTTTTAAAAACAGTACTCTACTGCATTTATTTTTCTAGGGGCTGTGTTTATCACCCAACAACATAGTCTGGAGTTCTTTTCGTGTCCATATACCCGATAGGACCTCACTCTTTTAAACTACTGCGTGTCACTCTCCAGCGTGGGCACCCGAACATCAGTAAACATCACAGTGTTCACTACATATTATAAACAAGGATGCAGTGGGCGGCCATGATGATGCCTCCCCACGCGCACACACGTGTTCGAGCACTTTTCCTGAATGGATTCCCAAGTAGTAGCGCTGTGGACTCACAGCAGCTGTCTTAATATTTTTCCTTTCAGTAGAAGCTATCCTATTGTTAATTGTCTTCCAAAACGGCTCTGCTGATTGACACTCCCAACAGCGGTATGTAAGAGGACCAATTTTCCACTCCTCTGCCAACGCACGGCATTTTGACTTCATGTAGCCCAGTGGATGGAAAATGATGTCCCATGGTTATTTTCATCTGAGCTCCCCTAGTTACTAATGACATTGTCCTTTCTGCTATTTGTTCTTTATAGGTACCCATATGCGTCCTCTGTCTGCTATGCACCAGCAAACTTCTCCTCCCCATCTACCCTTGCCTCTTAGCTTGGTTTTATGATCCCCACTTCTCTCCTGCTGTTACTGCACCTGAAAGTGGAGTCTGCAAACAGGCATAACCACAGGCCTCTCAGCAGACGCTGGTCACTCCCTCTCCTCTCCTCCAACCGCCTCAACTGTGCCCGCATGGAGACACTTAGCTCTCCGCGCAGGTTACCGGTCCCCGTCTATGTTGACTACCTCGCGTGTGCCCTGGAAGGCGGGGGCTTCATCCAGGCCTTTCTGTGGCTCCCGTGGGGCCCAGCACAGAGCCTTCTATGCTCTTGGTACTAAACCCAACCTGAATTACAGCCACCGTTAAAAGCCGGACGACCTGATCCCAAATTGATTCCACCTAACTCCGTGAAGCAGGTATCATCATCGTCAAACAGTCGCTCTCCTCCTTCCCAGAAACAGAAAACAAGACAAAAAGCCGTGTGGGCTGGCTCGATGAAATATTCAGCAGCCTCTCCAACGAGAGCGATGGCTTGTGCGGTGGTGAGAGTCCAGGAGACGGGCAGAAAGGAAGGCGTGGGACCAGACCACAATCATTAGATCTCTGCTGTCCTCTTTGGAAAGGGTTTTAGTATTAAAAGGGCATTTATTCTCGTTAATGCAAAATTAAGGAGTTTAAAAAGCTTTTACAACCTAGACTCCCTCGGAGAGGTCAGTTCTAACACCGTAATCGGCCTCTGCTCCTGCTACTGATGGGAGCCGGGCAGCGCCTGTGGTCCCAGCTGTCCCCACAACAGGCACGGAGGGGAAGGATGGAGGGAGCCTGCACCGGCCTTCCTGGGCACCCAGCCCGTCCAAGGATGTAGCCCTAGACGCCAGGCACGCTGCTGAGAGGCAAGTCACACTCACTTGGCCCAGGGGAATCAGAATCACTGACTCTGGGGTGAATCCAACGTTCAAATGCCCTTACCTACACTACCCCCACCCCCAAAATAGCCATCCATCCGCTGCTTAGAACACCTGCAGTAAAACGTTGGTAATTTTAAAGCTGGGTGATGGGTGTATTGGTTCCTAATTCTATTCTCCTTACTTGTACATCAATATAGAATTTTAAAAAATATATTTTTTATTGATTTCAGAGAGGAATGGAGAGGGAGAGATAGAAACATCAATGATGAGAAAGAATCATTGATTGGTTGCCTTCTGCATGCCGCCCTACAGGGGATCGAGCCCAAAACCCGGGTATGTGCCCTTGACCGGAATTGAACATGGAACCTTTCAGTCCGAAGGCCAACACTCTGAACAGGGCCCCAAGCATGTTATTTTAATCTCTCGGAATCTCAACTTTCCGTGTGCACAGCGGGGGCAGTCATGTAGCCCACGTCACAGGGATTGGGAAAGTGCGATGAGATCATGCAGGTAGCATCCTTCGCCTAGCACTTGGCATGTAAACTGCTCACTGCTGTTTCGCTGGCTTAATTCTCCTCCTGGAGCCAAACAGAACAAGTGGGCCACCTCGGCACGAGGGCAGACCTGGTATACGATGATCAACTAAATAATGCCTCCCTAGCAACTGAGCCCATAGAAAGGACACACTCTGGAGTTTCAAAATCACAAACATCTGTGATTATATTAATAATAATTTAACAAAACAGAAGTGTTTCCTCTGTGTGTTGGCATCTCCTGCAGTTGTACGACCTCCTGGCTGCCTGCAGTGATGCTCTGAGCACTGACATACAGAGAAAGCTACGAAAACCCACTGCACGGAATCCTACAGAGACTCAGAGAGACTTCCCTCTCCTGCTCCTGGCTAATGGGCTGATGATGTCGAATGAATGGATTGTTCACATTCACTAACACATCTGTACGAGTCAGGACAGACACAAAATACGAGGCAGCGTGTGCCCCTGCCTCCCCACCGCTGACTCTCCAGACAGCGCTTTCCACGGGACTCCTCACAGCGTGTGATCACCCTGGGGCCCAGCATACCGTGGCCTGTTTTCCAGAACAGGACTCCGTGCATCTGTCCTGACACTCCGATGCCCCGGACTCTGCGGAGCTGCTGCCGGGGAAGAGCAGCGAGGCACTCGTTCAGGGTCTGGATGATTCTACTCACATCCTGCTCCCGCGCCTGGAACAGAACAGACACATGGGGCAAGGGCCTGGAGGAATCCCCTCGCCGGTGGCTGCCCAGCCAATTCTGACTGGCCTCAGGGAAGAGTTCAGAGCCAGAGGGTTCTCCCCACCTCCCCTGACCTGGAGCAGGAACGTGGTGGGTAAAGTTGCATGCACTTCCCCCCTTTACGATGAGACACGGCAGCAGATCAAGTTGGACAAATGGCCCAGGCCCTGCCTGCCTCTTCACTGTGGGTGCAGTGAGCTGAGGAGAGCACTGCCCCTGCCCTACGAGAAGTTACCACCTAGCAGGAAGGGCAGGAAAGCACAGGCAGACCATGCTGTCAGGATGAATAAGCCACAGAGTGTTGGAGTATGAGAAGGCTGAAACACAGTAGCGAGGAGCATTCCCTTAGTGGCCTGAGGGCCAGGCCCTGGACTTGGAAACAAAAACCCACCTCCAGAAGGCAGGCAGGAGGAAGGCCAGGGAGCACCTGGTACAAAACCAGGGGAATGGGCTCTGCAAGGGAGCGGTGGGCGAAGAGGCTGGAAAAGAGAGGCTGGGACCCAATCAGTGGCTCTTCCAATGGGTCCGGGCTGCCTGTCACTACTTGAGCCAACTCAGCAGAGACAGGATTGAATCACACAGGAGCATTCATTCCAATACTGCCGGCAGTATGGGAGAGCAGCAGGCCACCCACGAAAATCTGCTCTGCAGACCCCCCTAAGCCAGCTGCTTATACAGGGTAGGACAAGGATTACATGGGGAAGTAGGAATTACAGGCAAGGGGAGGTAGGCTATGCAGGTTGGAGTGGGACTCCACTGTTTGGGCAATAAGGGTGTTCATCTTTCCATGATAATAGGCAGGTTTTTTTTTTTCTTTTTAATGTATTTTCATTGTTGAAACCAGTTTGGCTCAGTGGACAGAGCATCAGCCTGCGGACTGAAAGACCCCAGGTTCGATTCCAGTCAAGGGCATGTACATTGGTTGCGGGCACATCCCCAGTAGGGGGGTGTGCAAGAGGCAGCTGATTGATGATTCTCTCTCATGGATGTTTCTCACTCTCTATCCCTCTCTCTTCCTCTCTGTAAAAAATCAATTACATATATATATATATATATATATATATATATATATATATATTTTTTTTTTTTTTTTTTTTTTTTTTTTTTTTTTTTAAAGAAGTCACACATGGCAATCAGATGGAGAATCCACCCAGGACAGAGGAGATGCTGTTTAAAATGGGCCCAGGGGGGTGAGTTGTGTGGGTGGGGACAGTAGAGGAGGAGGAAAACAGGCCAGATAGCAGTGAAAACAAGGAGACAGTGTTCAGCAAGCAGTTCGTTCCGGTTGTAGGGGTGTGATGGGGAACAGACAATGGGCACGCCCACGATGACAGGAAAGGCACAGTCCCCATTCCTTGGCTCAGATTAACAACTGGTCTGCATCCAGATCAAATCCTAAAACTTTATAGAGTTGAAAAAATAACTTAGAAACTCAGTCAACCCTCATCCTTTATGCCTCTTTTTACCAACTGAAGAAACTGAGGCCTAGAGAGAAAAAAATTAATGATGCAGAAAGGGTCACAGAGTTTCCTTCAAAAAAACAAAAACAAAACAAAACAAAACAAAACAAAAAAACCTAATTGCAAATATGGAAAAGCCTGACCTTTCACATAGCTGCCAAGCTTGACCATGGTGTACACAATACTTCTAAAGACTAAGAAGCATGGTTATGAGGAAAGAACAGAACCATCAACTATTCTAACCATCAGTGGTTCTCACCCCAGTGGTTTCTGTCCCCAGGGGACATATGGCCATATGGGAATGTTTTGGGGTATCACACCTAGGGAGAATTCTGCTAGCAGGTAGAGGACAGGGATGCTTCTAGACATCCTACAAGACACAGGGCAGAGGCCCACAGCAAAGAATCACCCAGCTCAAAAAAAATCAGCAGTGCAAGATTGGAGAAGTCCTGTCATAGATGAAATTATAGGAATACTATCTGTCCCAGAGCACAACACACATGTGGGGTTTGCTGGGGGGCTATCACTGGCCTCCCCTAAACTCCTCATTAGGCGGGTGCACTGGGTGTGTCTATAAACACAGAGGTGCCTGCAACCGTGGGGGAAGTGGAGAAAGTAATGTTCAAGAAGGGCCTATTTCAGAATAGGGCACTGCCTAAACCATCTCCCTGTAATTCCAGCTCTGCAGCTCACTCCCATAGAGCCAGTCCTGAAGTGAAATAATCATTCTAAAATGCCATGATGCACCGCCCATCCCCCACCCCAGCCAAGCTGACTTTGAAAGCCTCCATGAAAACGCAAAGTGTTCCTGAAACTTTAATCCTCTGAAATGCTTCTGAGCAAGACAGACTCTGAACCCTAAAGAACAGAGTCCAAATATGTGGCAAGAGTTGGGAAAACAGCTCCTGGGAGTGGTGTTTGGCTCAGAAATGGAGGTTTGTGGCTGGAAGGGGCCAGAGGCCACCTGCTTCAAGTCGGAGAAGAACAAGCTGAGATCCAGAAAAAAAGGTTACTCAAAGTTCCCTGGTATTAATTTCCATGGTCAAGTAACTAAACATAGAGCCACCTTTTCCAGGGAATTAATGGTATCCAGCTCTGAGGATTGACACCTTTTCTGAGCCCACGGTCTCACAGCAGGGCCCACTGTGGTAAAATCCTCCAATTCCCTCTTGCAGCTTTCACAAGACGGGTTGTAGTGCATGGTTACATTTCACAAGATAAACCACTGTGATGTATCATTATCAATCTGACCTTTTCTAAGGACGGCTTTCAATATCTTTCGGTCTGTCTTTCTTCCAATGTCTTTTATCTATCTGTCCTTCAATCTGTTTTTCCTTGGGGGGTGCAGGGGAGGGTTGAGGCGGGGGGAAGGGTGACCTTTGTTGACCAGGTGTTTGAGTTGTTCAGTCCACGTTTTGCTCTGTTAGGCCTGATTCTGCATCTGATTTCCCGAGGAAACCCCAAACTCTGCCCTGGGGAACAAACAATCCTAAACTAGAGGACACAAGCAGGTGTGCGGAGAATCACTCAAGGAGAGGAATTCCCCTCGGGTCAGGATATACAGAAAGTGGAGGGCAGAGAGCACGGGATAAGCACTTCGGGCAAGCCCCCAGAGGAGGCCAGAGAGTGGGAAGCTCAGTGACAGGCCTTAACCTATGGGGGAAGAGGGGTGCAACAGGCAGGTGAGAGATCAGGCAGGCTGGAGCAGTCAGGAAGACTTCTCCGAGGAAGGGGGTGTTGGGGCGGCCCCTTAGAGGAAGAAGAGGGGGGTCCGGGGACCCTGGAGGCGGCGCAGCTCCAGGACACACTGCCTCACCTGGGGCCCGGCCGCCGCGCTCTGGGCCGCCGCCTCGGCCCGCGCGGCCCGGACACAGCTGGCCAAGACCACGAACCCCGATGGGTCGTCAGGCGCCGCCTCCACCACGGCCGCCTTCACAGACGTGGTGCCCAGGTCGATGCCCAGCACGACCGACGGTGCAGCCATGGCCGTGGGACCAGCGTAGGTTTTGTCCGCGGGGCGGGGCGCCCTCCTGCAGCCTAAACCCGGGACCGAGGCGCGAGGGCGGGGCCTCGCCGGCCAAGCTGTCAGCCACACGCAAAGCGAAGGCCGATCTTCTTCCCATTGGCCGAGGGAGGGGGAGCCCTGCACGCCGGGCCCGGCGATAGGCGGAGAGACGGCGGAAGGCGGGACCTGGGGGGCACCGCCCTGTCGGGCTGGGGTTCCCTGACCGCGGCGGCGGCTGCCTCCGCAGGACAGCCTCTGCCTCGCTCTCAAAACGAGTGCAGGGTCCTCGGACAGGCGCTCGGGACTCGGAGAGCCTCTGTGTCCCTAAAAGTGGCTGAAGGCTCCCTCACACCGAGCCTCCATCCCTGCCAAGGTGCCTCCACTTCCCCCAACCCTGCATAAGACGCCTCAAAACTACCACTCCCAGCATGCACCCCGCGAACCCATTGACTCCGCGAGTCAGGTGATTGGGATCAGGTGACTTCAGGCCCGCCCTCTCGCAGATCTATCCCGACCGGGGAAGCGGATAAGGCCCGAAGCATCTCCTACGGCTCGTGGGTCGGTCCCAGAGCCTCAGAAGATCTCAGGTGAGAGCCGGCACGGCGCCGGCAGCCTCCTCCCTATTCCCCAAGGGCACCCCCTGACACCCAGGAGCTGGTGCAGCAAGCCGGTTGGCAGCCTGCCGCCAATCCAGCCCGGCTCAGCGGCGCCGGGGTTCCATCCCTTAGCCACTTGTCCTGTCCTGGCGACACTGACAGTCTCCAGGTTCGAGGCCCCGGGTGGTGATGGGCGGAGGTAGGGCCCACCGTGCTGTCGAGGGGGTGTGGGTGGTCCGAGCCCCTTCCCCGCTCTCCGCTTAGTTGCCGCCCAATTCTGAGTCGCGGAGTTTACAGGTTGCTTTTGGAGAAGGGAGACTCCAAAAGGACCCTTCAGAAACTCCGGGGGAAGTAAGTGCTGAGCTCTGGGCTGGGCTCCAGGGCTGTGGGCAGGAGCAGGCCCCACCTCACCCCGCCCTCCTGGGGCTTTCAGACTGAAGAAGGGAAGAACAGCTGGGTTTCGCCTTTTTCGACAGTTTTGAGGAAGATAACAACCCTTAGGCTCTTATCCTAAGTTAGGGAATGAAGTCAATTTCCTTCATGTTTATAGGTTCACAAAGTCTGATATCTGATCACAATCTTAATAATTTTGGGGAAAAAGGAACTCTAACCCAGTAAAACTGCATTCTTTCTTTTTGTTAAGTTGCAGGAAGCAGTTGAAGAAGAGAAAATTCAGTATTTGCCTACTTCCTCAGAGTGGACCCTTACACAACCCACTTAGTCTCTCTGAGCCCATTTCACTGTATATTAAAGATAAGCCCTTCCTGGAGTCCTGTTCTTCAAGCTGCTGATGCAAAGCCCATGAGGCCACGGCCGTGAAGTGAAAGTCTTTTATAGACAGTTCATGCCATGGTTCCAGGGGGCATATTGTCCAGGCAGCATATTTCACTTCTGATCCAACTTTAACCTGAACTTCTCTTGCTCTTTGTTTTTCTCACCAGTTCTTTGAAATTGAGGAACATGATAAGGAGTTGGCTGGTTATTTTTATCCTTTTTCCCCTGAAGCTCATAGAGAAATGTGGTAAGTTTAGAAATGGGTCATCAACTTTGTAAAGAGGTAAATAGAGTAAATAGTCTGACTTTGTTTGTAGCCAGGATTTAGTTCTGTCCAGACTGCGTGGGCTTGCCTGGCCCTTGTTCAAGCAGCCACAGGTGGTGGAACAGACCCAGGTCTGGGGTACAGGAGTTTTACAAGGGGTCAGATGATTCCATAAAAAATTGGCCTTCTGGGGCTCTCCCTTCTGAGAGCACACCCATGCCATTCCCTTCTTCCTCTCTCTCCCCTATGGGCACATATCCCCTAATTTCTAAGGACCCCGTGAGATTTGCAACCAGGGGAGAAGTGGTCCTGGTTTCAGTGTCCTAAATATGTTTTTATTGCAGTCAATGCAGTCTTGTGTGCTTTTCTAAAGATAATAAATAAATAATCGGCCTTCCACGCTGGGAACCCTATTACCTTATCTGTATTACCAAAATCGAACTGGGGAGCTCCAACAATCTGGGGTATTACCTGTAAAGAAGGGCTTGTGTTCCTGCCCTGCGGACCTCACAGAGGGAGTTATGGCTTCTAGGAGATGCTGCAGAAGCGTGATGTGGCCACCTTGTGCCTGGGTCTGTATATCCTTAGAGGGCATGACTTTTAGTGCAGGGCTCTTAGAGACCTGTATCATTCCAATAATTCTCCCACTGCCCAAAACATGGCTGAAATTCCTTCCACAAAAGGAATTTGTGCTGAGCACTTTTAGGACCCCAGATCCATTATTTTGGCCATCGTCAAAAACCAGATAGATCTTACAATCCCTGACCAAAGATTTCAAATGAACCTTGTTCAAACAATGCAAATCTTTCCAGTTGCACCATTCCAGTTATCCGGCCTCTTAGATCTCTGAGAACATACGTACCTGACCAGCTCTTCCAGGTTTGTTAAAAAGTCAGCCATGTTACTTTATAACCATACCTTGTGGATAAGCAATTTCCATTTGCAGCCTGGTATTTCTTGGTACAGATGCCAGAGCCCCACTCCAGACCTGCTGGGTCACATTCTCTGGGACACACATGCATTGGCAGGCTTTAAATAAAGCTCCATTAGCAATGGTAATGCATTGCTCTAGAGAAGAACAACAAATCCACCTCAATTATACAGAGGGGGAATTTAGGCCCAGAGAGGGTAAAGGTCTTCCCCAAAGACCTAGAAAGACACAGCTAGAAAGTAAAAAAAGATGGGACCTGAGCAAGGTCCCTACTCCATTCTACCATTCTGCCTCCTTTCCTGAGTGTCATAAACAGTGGAAACCACCATAAAATCAAGTAACTGGGATTGGCTTTCTAACATCTGGCAGGCCTGTCTTCTCTTTGCTCTGGGGAGTAGTCAACAGGGACCTAAGGTTGGCTCAGTGGTTGAGTATTTACCCATGAACCAGGAGGCTCCGGTTCAATTCCCAGTCAGGGCACATGCCCAGCTTGTGGGCTGCATCCCTGGTAGAAGGCAGGTAGGAGAACCAATAGAGGATTCTCTCTTACCACTGATGTTTCTATCTCTCTCCTTATCCCTTCCTCTCTCTGAAATCAATAAAAACAGATAGGTAGGTAGGTAGATAGATAGATAGATAGATAGATATGAAAACAGACTCTCCTTAGAGGAAACTTGGGGTGGTCTCATTAAATTTCATTTGGTAATTCCAATGTTGTGTGTCCAGAGACTCCTGCCCCAGGGCGAACTTTAAAGTGTGCTTTCCCAGGATTGATGCCAGTTTTCTAACTGCCTCCCACTTAAAAAAAAAAAAAAAAAAAGAATGTCCTGCCTTGTTTACATGATAAGAATAGTCAACAGCAATTGTTCAGCACTCAGTGTGGAAAGTCGCAAACATCACTTTCTCTTTACAAAGCCCTGTGAGATGGGTAGTACTATTCTCCCGTTTCACAGGTGAGGAAACAGGCTTAAGTGCACCCAGAGTCACTCAGCTAGGAGGCGACAGAGCCATGATGGATCTGTTTGACCTTAGAGCCCAGTCTCTCGGCTGCTGAGCACTGCTTTCTTCAAGGCACTGAGTGAGAGGAAAGTAAACATCCCTTGATCTGATTTGTTGAGCATTCACACACTCCACTTTTTTTTTTTTAATATATTTTATTGATTTTTTACAGAGAGGAAGGGAGAGGGATAGAGAGCCAGAAACATCGATGAGAGAGAAACATCGACCAGCCGCCTCCTGCATACCCCTTACTGGGGATATGCCCGCAACCAATGTACATGCCCTTAACTGGAATCGAACCCGGGACCCTTCAGTCCACAGACCGACGCTCCATCCACTGAGCCAAATCGGTTTTGGCACAGACTCCACTTTTAAAATAGAAAGAGGGCAGAAGAGCAGAGGCCATGGGGATCTCTCACTCACCCTGATCACAGTCCCGGCAGAGCCCTGGGGACTCAGTGGTGTTGGTGGCTGCCCGGCATCACTTTCTTTAAAAAAAAATATATATATATATATTTTAAATAATATATATATATTTATAATATATATATTTATATATATATTATTTAAAATATATATATTTATATATATATATATATATTTTTTTTTTTTTTTTTTTTTTTTTTTACAGGGAAGAAGTGAGAGGGATAGATAGATAGAAACATCGATGAGAGAGAAACATCCATCAGCCGCCTCTTGCACACCCCCCACTGGGGATGTGCCCGCAACCAAGGCACATGCCCCCAACCGGAATTGAACCCGGGACCCCTGAGTCCACAGGCGGGCACTCTATCCACTAAGCCAACCCAGTTAGGGCTGGCATCACTTTCAGTACCCTGACCTGGGTACCATCTTGTCACAGTGTTGCTTATCTGGTATGGTCCTCAGCTCTAGTGGAAAGTAACAGCAAGGACCTGCCGGAGCTATGCCGGCCCAGAACAAAGCCGCAGGCTGTTTATGGAAGCCGGAGTGAAAAAAGAGAGGAGGAGTTGGCAAAGCTGCCTCCGAGCCCCAAGGCTACACGTAAGGGAGGGACCTTCCTACTCTGTGGGGCTTGGCCTCTGCAAGGGCCAGGGAGGACATGCCGCTCAGAGTGACCCTGGTGGGAGTCAGCTGGAGACTTGCAGACACGGGACAGAGTCTGCATCTGCACTCACACATGCAGGGTCAGCCTGAGGAAGGTGGCTCCGATAGGGTCTGAGAGGCCCTGGGGAGCAGAGCCAGGCCCAGGAGTGCAAGTTCCAGGCTGGCCCATTCCCTTGGAGGGGAGGGACTTACTCCTGGGTGACAGGCAGAGTATTGAGAAGGGGGATCAGACATTAAAGACCCCTAGGCACCTTCCCACCTGAGCACCTAAACTCATTCTTTACTTTCGGCCTTTCATGGTCTGGGGAAAGGGAGACCTGGGCCCTGCCTGCGGCTGCTACCCCAGCAAGGACCAACTTCATCAGGCTGAGCGTTTGCTTTGCCACTGTGGGCCCCCTTCCACTTCCATTCTAGATTCATGCCCATACCTTATGCTGTGCGTAATCCTGAAGGCCTGGTGGGGAGGGAGGGGAGGTGGACAGGTGCCGGATCTGTGAGCACACCTGGGATGGGGGTGGGGGTGCAGCCCTAAGAACACAGGAAGAGGTCAGAGAGTGGCTGACTCACTCATGTTCTGTAGCCAAATTGCTCTGGGGTATTTCCCAAACCTGCTTCTCCCCTCACCCTGGACGCCTGTTTGTCTACCTCATCCTAAGCTAACACCTCAAAGCCAAGAAGAAATCAGTATCCCCTAGTCCCCAGCAGAGTCAGCCTCAGGAAGGGGATCAGTGAATGGGTTGAGCTGGGTTCAGGTTCATATGGGAACCCAACAGAGTATTCTGAGAAAAACAGGTTAACTGGGCCTATGTGTCCGCATATAATATTTCTCTCTTGGACCGCGACCAGCACGGCTAGAGAGCGGACACAAGTCCTGAGTAGGGGCGACGGGAGATTGAGAAAAAGAAAGACAGACATGAGACAGTAGGGAAAGCTGTGACCGGGTGGACAGCTGGCCCTCTGATGGAGAGACAGTGACTCCAAAGCTGGTACAGTGCGTTTATTTTATACAGTATAATTCTAGGAAGTTTTACTAGAGTTTAAGACAAAGGAATTATGTGAAATCATGGTAAAATCAAGCTGTAATACTTCATTCTTTTTTAAAAATATATATATATTATTGATTTTTTACAGAGAGGAAGGGAGAGAGATAGAGAGCTAGAAACGTCGATAAGAGAGAAACACTGGATCAGCTGCCTCTTGCACACCCCTACTGGCAATGTGCCCGCAACCAGCGTACATGCCCCTGACCGGAATTGAACCTTTCAGTCCGCAGGCCAACGCTCTACCACTGAGCCAAACCGGTTTTGGCTGTTCTTATGGCTTTTTTGTAATTGTCACTCTTGGCTGAACCCAGATAATTGCATCCGTTCCTTGCTCCTGGCTGAACTTAGATAAGGAAACCCACCGCCTGGCACCTGAGCTAAGGGTCAGGCTGACAACATACCTGCCTATGGCACAGTATGTTTCCAGGACGTGGCTCTACCGATGCCACTGAACTCAGCTGACAATAATCAAAGAAATGCTCAGGGATAGACTGGACCCATTCTTCGGGGCCATTGAAGCTCCACAAACAGGAGACTCCTGTGACTTCCATCTGAAGAGGTGGTTCAAGTCCACGTTTTCCAGTCCCCGAGTTGTGGCTTGAATTCCTTTAGTTTCTAAAACTATCTCTGGATAACTTGGCTGCACACCTTCAGAGCCTGTGATGCTGGAGAGGAGGAAGCGGCAGCGTCTCCTGCTCAGGCCTGTGTCTCCCTCCAATGGCAGGAGGAGGTGAAAGAGCATCAGGAGGGCTTTGGTTTCCAGTCACATCACTTAGTCCCTCAGAACCTCCGTGTCTTCACCTGGAAGATAGGGGTCATCATGAGGCATAGTTCTTGAGCTCAGATGGCAGGGGCCCTTGTCTGTCTCTCCTTGTGGTCCTAAGTCTCTGACCTCATGACTAATGCCACTGATTCGGGTCCTTCCAGAGTCGACGGTCGACCTTGCTGTTCCTCCCACTGTGAAGCTGGAAAATGGGAGCTCAACCAACGTCAGCATCGCCCTTCAGTAAGTCCCCAGGCCCAGAACTGCCCTCAGCCCAGCTCGTCACTCCACGGTGGCTCAGTCCCTTCATATTTCAAGTGATGCTCATGCCTCGTCACTTTCAGAGAAGCTAGAGGAAGAGAGGCACTAGCCCTGGGCTGCAGACCGAGGTCCCAGAGTCTCTCTTCCCCACTCACAGAACCCTTGTTTCCGGTGGGCGGAGCAGGAATGGGGCTTCTCCCCAGTCATGAGCCTTTTCCCCAGCCGAAAGGAGTCCTCGAGTGACCAGCAGTTGATGCCAGACTTCAGAGTGGCCCTTTCCAAGGCTCTAAGTATTTGAGGAGAGCCCTGAGGTCCGCAGTAAGAAGCTGAGCTCTTGTTAGATCACTTCCAAAAGCAGAAGTGTCTCCATCGGGTGGATCTCGTTTGTGTGACCCTCACACTTAGCCTTGACCGAGGGTCTATCTTGCTGACCACATGAGGGTGCCGACCTAGTTCAGACTGTGCTGAGAGCCTCCTGGTGTATCCTTCCCTGCTTCACCCTGCACCTGCCTTCCAGTCACATGGATCCTGTAGAGGAAGGTCTGGTGCCCTGTCTTCTCTCTCTTTCCATCTCCCTTCCCTCACCCCTCCTGAGAAGTCTGTTCTCAAACCAAAGCTTTGGTACCAAGGCTCCCCAACAGACCTACATTCTGTCTATTGCCTGGCCACTTGCACCCAGACACCTTGTGAATCCCCTCACCACAGCTCTCCCCTCTCCAGAACCCTGGAGTGGCTTTCCACAGTCTTCTACATTAACGCCAGGCCTCTCCGTGCAGACCTGAGCCCCCATGGGCTGCTCAAACTGTCTCGTGGCTTTCTGGGGACACAGAGCTCCCTGCTCAGACCTGAATCTCATGCCTTTCCCACCAGAGCAGGTTTCATGGTCCAGTCGGCCCCTGGACACCTTCTTTGGCATTCACAGCCAGTTTTACACCTTCTCGTGTTCTCAGTCAGCCCCAGTAGGGGACATCTCCTCTGATAAAGATAGAAAACTCCTGCCTAGCCAGTATGGCTCCGTGGTTGAGCGTTGACCTAGGAACCAGATAGTCACGGTTTGATGCCTGGTTTGTGGGCTCCATCCCTGGCAGAGGGTGTGCAGGAGTTGGCCTGTCAGAGATTCTCTCTCATCATTGATGTTTGTATCTTTCTCTCCCTCTCCCTTACTCTCTGAAATCAATAAAAATATTTTTTTATTTTTTTTAATATATATTTTATTGATTTTTCACAGAGAGGAATGGAGAGAAACAGAGAGCTAGAAACATCGATGAGAGAGAAACATTGACCAGCTGCCTCCTGTACACACCCCGCCGGGGATGTGCCCGCAATCAAGGTACATGCCCTTGACCGGAATCAAACCTGGGACCCTTCAGTCCACAGGCCGACAGTCTATCCACTGAGCCAAACCAGTTTCAGCAAAAATATATTTTTTTTTAAAAAGATAGAAAACTCCTAAGGAGCAGGGAGCCCACCTTCTCCCCCCTCAGACTGAGCCCATAGCACTGCCTCACCCTAACTGCTTGAGCAAGGGCAGGCCCCGTGTGAAGTTCAGAGGGGGCTGAGGTCGCACAGTGTCGCACTCCTCAGTAGTAATCACACTAGTAATCACACTCTTGTCCCCCACAGGCATCCGCTGAATGCAACCTTGGTGATCACTTTTGAAATCACATTTCAATCAAAAAACATCACTATCCTTGAGCTGCCGGATGAAGTAAGTAATGATCCATCACTGGGGGGTAGAGCCCTGCTGGGTAATAAAACACATTCTACTTAAGTGCTTCTGGAAGTAGGCCACCGTGTCTTTAGGCCGTGGGCTGCCTGTCCCATCCCTCTAGAAGTCTCTGGTTTTGGCTTTGTTGGTGTCCTTGAGGACGGGCATCTTATGCCGTGTAGACGGAATTAGGAAGGTGATGGTAAGAAATGTAAGGCAGAAAATGGTTCTGCGAATGTAGAGACTTTGCTACGCAAAGGAGACTTTTGTCCCTGCTGGAGACCTTTTAGAAATGCAGTCTACCAGGCCCCGCTCCAGATCCACTGATTCAAAATCTGTACCTGAGCGTGACGCCGGGATGATTTGGATCCACGTTAAGGTTTGCAAAGCACTGTTCTGAGTGTTATTTCCAAAACCCAGTGCCAGAGTCTGCCTGGTATTACAGCAATAACTATTCATAGCCCGTACACATCTGTCTGTTAATATGCAACCTGCTTCTGCCTTACGAAGGATTTGAGCCAATTACTGATAAATTGGATTTTTTTAAAAATCAATAGGGGAGACAGTATAAAGTAAACAAGGACCCTAGCCGGTTTAGCTCAATGGATGGAGTGTCGGCCTGCGAACTGAAAGGTCCCGGGTTCGATTCTGGTCAGGTTGTAGGCTCAATCTCCAGGAGGCAGCTAATCTATGATTCTCTCTCATCATGGATGTTTCTATCTCTCTCTCCTTTCTTCCTCTCTGAAATCAATAAATATATATGTATTAAAAAAAAAATAAAGTAAACAAGGGTTTTAACAAAAAAACAGACAAGATGAACACAGGGATGAAACTGATGACCGTAGGCATGCCACGAGGCCCTGTGTGGTTGTAGAAATGGGCTGCAAACTGGCTCTGAGCCCCTTAGCAAGCAGACCGTGTGGAAGCATGGGCTTCCTGTGAAAAGGAAAACTCATCTCATCCCATGGTGAACACACACATCATTAGACACAATTTCTCCCGCCCCCGGTGTCTCCTGCTGCAGGCTGAGAAAAACCAGTGGTTCTGACAGCAGGTCCTGGCATTCAGCTCTCTGAGGTCTGGCTTGATCCACAGATCACATGGCTGGTGAGAGGAAGGGAGCCAGGGATAGGCCCAAGGGCAGAACCAAGTTCTGCTCAGAAAGTCTAACATAACACATAGGTGTGTGGGGGGGGTCCCATTTGGCTGGTGGGTCGTGTTTCTCACTTTGGCTAGTAAGCTCCCAGAAGGCAGGGACCCTGTGTGATCTGACCCTACATTTCCTGGTGCATAGTCTGCAGCTGGGCACTCAGGTCCCAACAAGTACATGGCACTGAATCAAATTCAGTTTTTCTATAGGTTGTGGTGCCTCCCGGAGTGACAGAGTCCTCTTTTCAAGTGACATCTCGAAATGTGGGACAAATTACTGTTTTTCTGCACAAAAATCATTCCAACCAAACCGGGTAAGCTGGGGTTTAAATGGTGGGAAGGAAGGCAGCGCTGGCACGTGGGGGTTTCCCTCGGGAGCCCTGTTTCAGCTCATCCTGGTCCCCAAATCCTTTCCAGCCCGAGGATACACTTCCTGGTGATCCGCAGCAACGTCGTCAGTATCATAAACCAGGTGATTGGCTGGATCTACTTTGCAGCCTGGTCCGTCTCCTTCTACCCGCAGGTGATCTTGAACTGGAGGCGGAAAAGGTAACCTGCTGAGCTGTGTGTTCAGGTTCATTTGGTGCCCGTGTGACGGGCATTCCCACGAGGCAGTAGGTGGCACGGGTTCAGCCTTTCTCGCTCTGCTTATCTCCTTTCCTGCCCTTTCTAGAAAGTTGTTGAGGTGAGAGCTCTAAGAGCCTGTGATGGCACTGGCACTGCTGGGCAGTTGGTCTCTTGCCCAACTCAGCTCCTCCCTGTGAAAGCAACACCATGGGGCTTCTCGGAGAAGTGGAGAATGGGCTGGGTGCAGGCAAAGTCCACCCTAATATTCCCTTATCTCGGTCCGTCCAGCCCTGGAGGAATTAATGTCAAGTTGTGCTATAGTACCGGAGGTGGATCCTTCAGCCTTGGAGATTAAACCTTCCCACCTTGATTATAAAAACAAAGTGGAAGGCCCTGAATTCACTTCCTCCCACAGACATATGGAATATGTGCTACATATAGAGCAGCTCCTGCTAAAGAATTGGGCCTAGCCCTAGCCGGTTTGACTCAATGGATAAAGTATTGGCCTGCAGACTGAAGGGCCTGGGGTTCAATTCCGGTCAGGAGCACATGCATTGTTTCAAGCTCAGTCCCCAGTAGGGGGTGTTCAGGAGGCAGCCCATCAATGATTCTCTCTCATCATTCATGTTTCTCTCTCTTCCTCTGCCTTCCTTTCTGAAATCAATAAAAATATGTTTTTAAAAAAAGAGAGAACTGAGGGCCTATTGAACAGTTTCTGCACAACCCATAGAGGGACCACGTACAGAAGGGTAGGAGAGATGGAGACATGGCAACGAAGGGCTTCCATCTCCCACACGGAGGCCTGCAGCAGGGAGGGATATTACGAGGGCCTGTGCAAGGACTCGCCAACCCTGGGCCCAGCAAAACTCATTTTAAAGGCACCTAGACTATATGTGGAGCAAATCCATTTAAAGCACATTTCTATACACGAATAACAATGTTTCAGAAAGAGAAAGAAAATCCTATTTATAGTTAGTTGCATCTAAAAAAGTAAAATACCTAGGAATAAATTTAAGGAGGTGAAAGACCTGTATTCTGAAAACAGACATCAATGAAAGAAATTGACGAAGATACAAATAATAGAAAGATATACCATGTCACAGATTAGAAGAATTAATATTATTTAAATGCTCACACTTACCCAAAGCAATAGCAGATTCGATGCAATCCCCATCAAATTACCAAGGGCATTTTTTACAGAACTACAACAAAGAGTCCTAAAGTTGGTATAAAAACCACAAAGACCCCAAATAACCAAAGCAATCTTAAAAAAGAAGAGGCATCATATTCCCTGATATCAAACTATACTACAAGGCTATAGTAATCAAAACAGCATCATCTTGGCACAAAAACAGACACAGAGATCAATACAGTGTTTCCCAAAGTGTGGTATGTGTACCCCCAGGGGTACGGGAAGAGTTTGGTGGGGGTACGCGTTGCACCGGAGTTTGGTGGGGATATGCACTCACTGTGCTTAGCTGCGCCTAATTCTACGTTCTCGAGTACGAGGGGTACTCAGCGTTATGAAAATTATAGAAGGGGTACACATATGTCAAAAGTTTGGGAAACACTGGTCGACTAGAATAAACTCACACATATACAGTCAATCTATAACAAAGGAGTTAAGAATATGCAATGGGTTAAAGACAGCTCTTCAATAAATGATGTTGAGGAAACTGGACAGCTACCTGCAAAAGAATGAAACTGGACTACTGTCTTACACCACTTTGATTAAAGACTTGAATGTAAGACCTGAAACCTTAAAACTAGAAGAAAACATGGGCCGTAAGCTCTTTGATATCAGTCTCAACAACATTTTCTTGGATATGTCGTCTCAGACAAGGGCAACAAAAGCAAAAATAAACGAATGGAATTCCATCAAACTAAAAAGCTTTTTGCATAGCAAAGGAAACCAACAAAATGAAAGGGCAACCTACTGAATAGGAAGATATTTGCAAGTCATATATCTGATAAGAGGTTAATAGCCAAAATATACAAAGAACTTATACATGTATAAGTATCAAGAAAAGTAAGCTTGTCCTAAATGGATTGGCTTAGTAGATAGAGCGTCGGCTTGCAGACTGAAAGGTTCCAGGTTCGGTTCCAGCCAAGGGCATGTACCTTGGTTGCGGGTACATCAGGGGGGGGGGGGGGGGGGGTTGCCAGAGGCAGCTGATCAATGTTTCTCCCTCATCGATATTTCTCTCTATCCCTCTTCCTTTCTCTCTGTAAAAATCAATCAAATATTTTTTTTAAAAAAAAAAAAAAGGAAAGCTACTTTATTAAAAAGTGGGTAGAGGACTTGAACAGACCTTTTTTCACAAAAAGGCATACAGGTGGCCAACAGGCACATGAAAAGATGCTCAGCATCACTAATTACCAGGGAAATGCAGTTCAAAACCCCGAGATAGTACCTCACACCTGTGAGAATGGCTGTCATTCAAAAGACAAAAAGTAGTAAGTGTTGTAAAGGATATGGAGAAAAGGGAACCCTCATACACAGGTGGCAATTTAAAATGATGAAGCCACTGTGGAAAACAGTATGGAGGTTCCTCAAAACATTAAAAATAGGACTATCATGTGATCCAGCAATTCTACTGGGTATTTATCCAAAGATGACAGAAACACTAATTTATGAAAAGATATATGCACACCTGGGTTCATTGCAGCAGCATTTGCAATATGGAAGCAACCCAAATGTCCATTTGATAGACAAATGGATAAAGATGTGGCACATATATATACAATGGAATATTACTCAGCCGTAATAAAGAATGAAATCGTGCCATTTTCAACAACCTTATGGATGGACCTATAAGGTGTATATGCTAAGTGAAATAGAAAAAAGAAATATTGGATTATTTTATTTTTATGAAATCTGAAAATAAAACAGAAACAGACTCATTGGTATAGGTAACAAACTGGTGGTTACCAGAGGGGGGTCGTGGGCAGAGATTGGGGAGTAGGTGCCGTAGGTGAACGGGATTAAAAGGTACAAACTTCCAGGCGTAAAATAAATAAGTCATGAGGATGTGACGTGTAGCACAGGGAATATAGACAGTAATATTGTAATGACTGTATAGTGACCTGTTGTGGGGATCATTTTGTAATGTATATAAATATCAAATCACTATGGTGTATTTCTTAAATGAATAGGATATTGTGTGACAATTCTACATCCCTGGGAGGAAAGGAAGACAAGTGGGCCTGCGATTGCATCTTCATGCAGCAGGGACACAGCTTTCTCACAATCACCCTCACCATGTGGGCCTCCTGCCGGGCTGCTGAGCAGAAAGCCAGGGAGGGGAGACTCCTCCTTTCTGCAGGAGGCCCCAAGCTTCCCTCGGGGGCCAGGACTTGAGGCAGGAGGAAACTGGTTTCCAAGAGAGTGGGATTGACTGTGGCATGAAGGGGGACCCAAGGCCAGTGCTCTGCTTGGGGGAGCTGGGCCGTCCTTCCATGTCCTGGGAGCTCTTTCCCCTCTCCTCCCCTCGCCGGCTCAGCTGCCCTCTCCATCTCCCCTCCCAGTGTTGTTGGTCTGAGCTTTGACTTCGTCACCCTGAACCTGACGGGCTTCGTGGCCTACAGCGTGTTCAATGTCGGCCTCTTCTGGATACCACACATCAAGGTATGGCCCTGCCGTCCGCCCCAGCCCAGCCCGAGCAGTTCATGGCCTGGCTGCCCCTCACTCGGTTTCACCACCCACCCTTACTCCCAACAGGAGCAGTTTTTCCTCCAACACCCGAACGGAGTGAACCCCGTGGAGATTAACGATGTCTTCTTCAGTCTGCATGCCGTGGCCCTCACCCTGGTTGTCCTGGTGCAGTGCCTCCTGTATGAGGTGAGAGACGGGATGGCATCTGCTCCCTGAGGCTGCCAGGCAGCACCCACCACCGTCACCTGCTTCCCACACCTGCTGTTTTACCACAGAGACACAGAGCCCCTCAGAAAGGGCACGTGTTTGATCACTCAGCATCTGATTGATTGTTGGGCCAGATAATAGGCCAGGCCCTGGGCTGGGCACAGGAACCACACCACGAGCCTAAGATCTTGGCCCCTCCTCCCAGGTCTGGTGTGGGGGACAAAGAGGCATGATGGCCCAGCAGGCAGAGAGCTGAGGGGAGAGCATGGCCCAGCCAGCGAAGATGGGGAAGGAGGGCATCAAGGAATTGGTGTCTAGCGTGGTTTGGGGGTGAGGAAAGTTCCTGTTGCCATGGGGAAGAGGGACATGGGGGGCACTCCAGCTGGGGCACCCACTGAAGGCCAAGGGGCAGTGAGAGCAGCCATGAGCCGATGGAGGTAGCTGTGAGGAAGAGGCTCACAAGGCCCCGAGAGGTCCTGAGGGCCATGTGTCTGGTCGCTGACGTGGCGTTTTCTTTCACTTCCCTCACAGAGTTCCCTTCACACACGCAAGGCCAGCCACATGGCGTGGGCCCCGCCTTCCAGGTGTTCTTGCTCTTTGCTGTGGAGCTTGGGTGAAGGAGCCTTCTTGGGGACAGGTTCCAGAGTGATCAGGCTCCCTCTGCATCATGGAACAGGCCTGCCTGGGCTAGGATGGTGCTGGGTCCCATCCCCAACATCCTTTGCTCCTAGGGGCTCTGAGAGGCCCCCAGTTCTGCATTGTGGAAACAAGAAGCAATTGGGCTCTGGAAAGTCCAAGAAAGACTGATCTAGAAGCCCTGAGAGTGACAAGAGCACTGCTGATGGTGGCAGCATTGCCCCCACCCATACCCACCTCCCACCCCTCTGCCCCTCTCGTCCCCAGTGCGGCGACCAGCGGGTGTCCTGGCCCGTCATCGGCTTCCTGTCGCTCTCGTGGCTCTTCGCGCTCGTCATCTTGATTCTGGCCGCAACCGGGGTAACCACATGGCTGAAGTTTCTCTTCTTCTTCTCCTACATCAAGCTCGCGGTGACACTGATCAAGTATTTTCCACAGGTACCTCTGGGGCCTTCCTCACTTTCCAGGTGGCCATTGGGGGCAGGGGGGGAGACACAGGCCCTGTCCTGGCTGGGGCGAGGACCAGGCATGGGAAGCCGCAGCGGAAGCCATGGGCCCAGCAGGACGGGACCGGGTGGAAGCTGGCCACACTGCTGCCTGCTCTTCCCTGGCGCCAAAATCTCACCAAGACTTCAGCGGAGTCTCTGAGCTCACAGCTCTGGGAGTCAGGTGGTGCAGGTCTCCATCCCGATTTCCTAGCGGCTTCAGTTCTGCTCCGTTACCACAGCCCACAGCCCTGAAAGATCAGGTGCGAGGAGGGAACCCACTGCTGTGACCTCCACTGCCATCCAGGCCTTCCTTGTGGGCCCTCAGCAGCCTCCCTCGAGCACTCAGGCCTATGCAGACCCAGGGACAAGCATGCCTGCCCATTGCTGGAGTGGCCCGGGAGGGCATCGCTTATGACCTAAGTGCCAGCTGCAGACTCCATTTATGAGTGGAGGCCTCGTTCTCACCTCGTTCTCTGTGGAGAAGCCCTTTTTCAGCTTCCCCAGCACAGGGAACTTCATGCCCTGGGCTCGGGAAAGAGAACGTTTTGGCCAGAGTCACAGCCCGTCTCCTCAGGGGCCTGGAAGCAGAGCCAAACCTGAAGGATAAACAGGACTCGGTTCTGTGGACGCGAGAGGAGGGGAATTCCAGGCTGGGGGCCGCTTACACAGGGCGCAGGCAGAAAAGTCTGCATGCAGCAAGGACACCGGGCTGGCCGAGGAGGGTGGAGCTAAAGGAAGGTGGGGCCAGGAGCTTGGAAAGAAGGCTTTGGGATGGGGGCAGGTCTTGAGGGAAGTGGGGCCGTGGTCCCTGAATGTGGGATAGCTTGGGGATGGGAAACCTGGGAGGCAGGAGTCCCAATTTGGAGACTGTCCAAGACTGGAGAGGTGGCAGCAAATGTGGAGAGGAGGGGAGAGGACAAAAAAGGGGACCTGGCTGATGGCTGACTGAGAGAAGGCCCCTCCAGAGGCCTAGCCAGAGGAACCCAGAGGGTGCTGGCGCTGGAGGGAGGAGGCGTGGCACTGGCAGACCTGGGAAGCCTGAGACAGAGACCCCGGCGCCCAAACAGGGCTGAGGCGAGAGGTAAGCCGTCTGCAGCGGGAGAAAGTTAGGTTAGAACGCCCAGGGCACCGGGCGCCAGTGGTGGGGCTGGTGTTCCAGACCAGGTGTTTCTCTCAGCCCGGGTCGCAAGCACAGCACAAAGTCCAGACTGAGTGCGAGTCCTGGGAGATGAGGAGGAAAACCCGAGTGGCTGGAAAACCACGAGAGGGCTTGTCCTGAAGCAGGGCAGGAGGAAGATGGAGAAGCAGTATGCCAGCCTCCTCCATCGGGGTTGTGTGATGCAGGAAGGGGAGGCAGAGGGCCCTGTTCGCTGTGTGTACGGACGAGACCCCAGGACCACCCAAGCTGTTCTCCGCCAACCCTTGTCAGAGCCCAGAGGTCACTGTGCTCTTTGGAGCCGAGGCCAGAGCACGGGAGTGGGAGGAATTAGAGCCGCTCTTGTTTTGGAGCGGTGGTCACGGGGCGCCGGAGGCAGCCACCCAGCCCCCTCACCGCCCTCCATGTCTCTGTCTGGCTGCCCAGGCCTACATGAACTTTGCCTACAAAAGCACCGAGGGCTGGAGCATTGGCAACGTGCTCCTGGACTTCACTGGGGGCTGCTTCAGCCTGCTGCAGATGTTCCTCCAGTCCTACAACAATGGTGAGTCTGTCAGCGGTGGGCCGGACTAGCCCCACCCCCACGCTCACCCTGCGGCTTGGGAATCCAAGCAGTGCCAGCCCTAGATCCCCCAGGGGTATCTGCAAGGGCAGGGTTGGTGGTTTCCTGGACAGGTGAGGACCCCCCACCCTCCACAACCCCAGGAGCTGCCAACCTAAAACCAGATTCTGTCCCCTCTGGCTGTTAACAGACCATTGGACACTGATCTTTGGAGACCCAACCAAGTTTGGACTCGGCGTCTTCTCCATCTTCTTCGACATCGTCTTCTTCATCCAGCACTTCTGCTTGTACAGAAAGAAGCCCGGGTATGAGCAGGTGAACTAGCACCCAGGGCCCCAGGTCAGTGGCCCGGGCCCTGTGCCCAACCAGGAGGCCGGAGAGCGATCTGGAGTGCAGGGCTGGCTCGGTGTGCAACATCAGAGAAGCATTCTCTTCCTCGGGGCCAAATGCCTTAAACAGGAACCAGCCTGCCTTCGTCCAGGACTTTCCAGGGCCCGGGAGAAGCCTCCCTCTGAGACAGACCCTGACTCTGCGCTGAGATTAAAAAGCTGACTACTCGCGGCCCCTCTCGGGTCTGGCTGGCCAGTCATCTGGCCCCCCTGCAACTTGATGCTGCCATTTCTATTCTCTTTAAGGCTTCAGGCAGCACCCACAGGTTCTGACAGCCATGCCACGCAGGACTGGACACGGAGCTGGGAGCAGGCCTTGCCTCGAGCAATCAGTGTTTCTGGGAGCAGCTTGAAGGACTAACCTTGCAGCTTTGGTGCCACTGCTGTTCCCAGAGACCAAGCTGCCAGGTGCTGTGGCCAGTGGACTGAGGGGTGCTGGTGGCAGAGGGGCTAGGACTTTGGGATTAGGCCTTGGGGTCCCTTCTCTGAGTCTGAACACTCCCCTTCCTGACACTTTTTCTAGAAAACCCGACCTCCACGACTGCAGGCACAGGTGGCCCAGGCCAGTGCCTAGTAAAGAAACAGTATTTCTGGGTCTTGAGGTGCCCAACAGATTGGTTCTGAACTGGGCTCACTCCCAACACCCTGTGGCTCTCTATCACACTAACCCCCCTTCTGGGTTTTGTTGGAGGGTGTTTTGGAAGTGATTGGCTGTCTGCCTGCCTACCTCCACTTTCCAGTCAAGGGCCCACGTGACACCCTTAGCTGCTCCTTACCCTGTGCCTGGATACAGGATACACACACACACACACACACTCGTGCCTTCGAGGCCTGTTGGACCAGCTCCCCTGGAGGGCAGGCCTGCCTTCTCTCACATCCCCCAGACCTGAGACTCGCCAATTTTGGGCCGTTCTGTAGCCTCAGAGAAGGATTGAGACCACCTTACTTAAGACCCATGGGATAACTGATCCCAAAACCCCTTCCCTCCTAACCCAACCAGTGGACACCAGTTGGCAGCCTCTGGAAACGTGCCTTGTACATGCCTTGAGATTGTCTATCCACTCTCCCAGCTTTTTACTACTAGTTCAATGAGGGGCCTGTATCCTGGATTAAAACCTGTTTCCTTCTGTGTGCGGAGCATTTGCCAGATGCAAGAGGCAGATGTGTTGCCTTCAGAACCAAGTCCTGGGAGCTTGGGGAGATGGCCCCCCAAGGTGACTGCGTGCCGACCTGGCACTTTATCAGGGGACCCCGCTTGGGTAGTGCGAGATGCCTGCCTGTCAGGGCCAGGTAGGTCCCACAGGTCCCGCGCCTGCATTCCCAAGGGCACGCCACCACTGGGAGCAGAGGGATGTCTGATCTTTCCAGATTCTTCATCAGTCCAGGGCTAAAAATACCAAACAGTTTAGGCTCTTGTCTCCCCATAGCAGATTGCAGCCTGACCAAGTATGCACACCTGCTGGACCACCTGGTATGTTACCAGGTGCCACACTTTAAAAGTGGGGGTTCCAAAAATCTGATTGGTCATGAGTGGCAGCAATCTCCAGAGCTGGTGGTGGTGCAGCCCATGGTGAGCCAGCCAGAGACCTGGAGGGCTCCAGTCAGATGGCAGCCTCTGGAAACATTTGGGGTTGCATCCCTGGCTGTAATCACTGAGTGCTCTCAGGAGCCTTAGTGGGAGGGTATTTTTCCCATGAACCCCTTGGTCTCCTGGGCGGGGACTGAGACCCTGATTCACAAGAGAAGTTGGGTGAAGGTGGGTGTGGCCAGGCCAAGCACATGTCTGGTGGGCCTAGGCGCAGTGGGGCTTCTTCCCAGAGCAACCAGGGCCAGGTCAGCCAGTCTTACAAAGCTGTCCCCGTAACCACCCCCAAGGACCCCCGCCCTGCACCTCAACAAAGATCCCCGTGAGTCCCAGCACTGTTTATTGGGCACAAGATGGGGGGTGGGGGGAACCTAGGAGAGAAGGCTTCATACTGCCCCATTTCCACAGTAACAAAACCAAAATAAGGATTTGCTAAGAGTCATTCCCAGATTGAATTAGTAAGCTAAATTCAAAGTAGAATTGGCATCTCCAAATAGTAAGATAAAAACCCTTCGTATCAAAGTGATTTAAAAAAGTACAAAAGTTAAACTCACAGGCATAGAGATTTTCAATCCTGAAAACTGCCCTCAAAAGTCAGCCTCAAATCTTGCCTAAATCTTGTAAGCTGGTGAACCCTGGAAGGCTAGCATCCCTCAGAGGAGTGGGGGAGCGATGGTAAACTGAGCCTGCTGGCTTCCATCCGGGCAGACTTCTGCCTCTGGAAGTGTCCAGTCCCCTCTGAGCAACGGGAACGCACGGGACACAGGCACTTTGGAGCTGAGACAGAGGGCAGGGCTGGCCCACCAGGCGTGGTTCTGCTTTGTGCCGCTCAGGGAGTGGGGACCCTGCTCATCTGGGCATGGCTGAGACCAGGCGGCAGGGCCTGGGGGCTGAGCTTGTGGTCACTGCAGACTGACTACAACTCAGCTCCAGGCCATTGTTTCCAGTCCTCGGTGTCCAAGGGAGAGCTAGTTCCAGAGCCTCAGGCCACTGGTGAGAGGGGAAGGCAGGCCAGGCAGGCCTCTGGAACAGCTCTTGCCCGTCTGAGTGGGGGCCCAGCACTCAGCAGAAGCCAGGACGGGGGGGCAGATGTGGAAGTAGTGTCACTGTACAAAGAGGCGCGGGCTCGAGTCGGGACCTCGGCGGGCTGCTAGGACAGCATGGACTGGTGCACGGCCTTCTGCAGCGACTGCCGCGTCACCAGCAGGCGCACCACCTCCTCCGAGCGCTTGGTGAGCCGCTTCCGGGCCTGGTCGTGTGTGACCATGGTCATGTCCCAGCCGTTCACCTGACCCAGAGAGAAAATACAGCCACCTGAGCTCCCCAGCCCCTGGGATCTGGAAGTAGGATGGGCTCTGGGGAGCCTGGGTTACCCAAGCAGGCCCCAAGCAGATGACCCCTGGATAGAAGATGCCAAGCACAGTTATCACACAGAGAAGACCAGCTTCCTCTGGGGGCAAGGCCAGCGTGGGCTCCAAAACGGCTGGGGTGAGTCCCAGGAGGCAGGGGCCGCCTCAGCCCCACTCCCCAATGCTTCAGCCTCTCCAGCCCAAGCCTGTCTCCCTCCTTTGGGACTAACGTTACCTGCATGATCTTGTCTCCAATCTGTAGCCCAGCAATTTCAGCGGGGCCTCCTTCCGATACCCGTGTGACATAGATGCCCTGGAAACAGACAGCCCACGTCAAGCCCTGGGTTCACCAGGCTGGCCCCTTAGCCACAGAGCAAAGTCCAGTAGGGCACACGCCCAGCTGCCCGGCTGTCTATCCCTGCACTGAGCCACCCTCCAGCCTCCACCCTCAGGCACAGGACAGCCAAGGAGACAGCTGGCTGCCCCAGGGATGCTCCAGCCCCTGCTGCTCCTGGGCTCTATCTGGCAGCCCACCCTCCTCACCCTCCCACCCCCCCTATTTATTCCCACCAGATCGTTTCTTAGACCTTCTTAGAGGGGACTGCTGGCGGAAGATTAGGTCTGCTCCTTCCGCAAAGGCCCAGGAAGCAGAGACCCACCATCTCTGCTGCACGGAGAGGCCCCAGGGCTCTGGTCCTCACCTTATCCGTCTTATCTTCTGAGAAAGGATTCTGGGAAGGATCCTGGTCAATCCCACCTCCAATGCTGAAGCCCAGGATTAAATTCTCGCCTTGACGCAGCTTATGAATTTCAACTCTTTGCTGGCAAAGAAGAGAATGAATTGGGGGTGAGTAGAGCATAAATCTGGTCTGTATCTCCTGTAGCCGCCCCAGGCTGCTGGAACAGCTCAGCCATGCCAAGAGGGTGGGGACCAGGCGGAAATCTGCAGAAATCCAGCTGGTCACCAGCCTGGGAGCCACATCAATTCACCCGCACAACACTCTGTCCCAATCTCTCTCCACTTCCTCTGTCTCAGGCATCAGCCTCAGTCAACAGGTGTTCTAAGCCCCCGTTGCTATGGTTACTATGGATCCCCGGGGGGGCTATATCCCAGGGGAGGGATCACTCAGGGCAGAAGGGGTCAGGCCCTAGAAAAACTGCAGGCAGATTGCCGAGCCAGCCCAGGTAAGGGCAAGACAGAGGATGCTCAGGAAAAGAGATCAAACTCACACAGAAAGGAGAGGAGGGGCTGTCCTGGCTGAGGGATAGGAACAGAGCCTTGAGGATGCCATACCTAAAGGTCCACGAAACCAGGGTGAACAGCACAGAACCGGAACTGGGAGGTGAGATGAGGCTAAGAGGCTGGGGCCAGACAGGAAGGCCCTGGAGACTGGGCCCCAGCGAGGGGTCTTTTCACTAAGCCCCAGGCCCTGCTCTTGTGCAGTGGAGGAGGTGGAGGAGAGTCCTAGGGTTCTCCTTCCATATCTGGGGCTGTGGTCCCCAACTGTGCCAGGCTCTTTTTTTTTTTTTCTTTTTTCTTTTTTAAATATATTTTTATTGATTTTTTACAGAGAGGAAAGGAGAAAGATAGAGAGCTAGAAACGTCGATGAGAGAGAAACATCGACCAGCTGCCTCTTGCACACCCCCTACCAGGGATGTGCCCGCAACCAAGGTACATGCCCTTGACCAGAATCGAACCCAGGACCTTTCAGTCCACAGATCGATGCTCTACCACTGAGCCAAACCGGTTTCGGCTTTATATATATATATATAATTTTATTTTTTTCACTGATTTTTTTACAGAGAGGAAGGGAGAGAGAGCTAGAAACGTCGATGAGAGCGAAACATCAACCAGCTGCCTCTTGCACACCCCCTACTGGGGATGTGCCCGCAACCAAGGTACATGCCCTTGACCAGAATCGAACCTGGGACCTTTCAGTCCACAGATCAACACTCTACCTCTGAGCCAAACCGGTTTCGGCTGTGCCAGGCTCTTTTCAAAGCCCTCAGCTGACATGCTCCAGTCACCAAATACTGGGCATCAGATCAGATCACCCCACTCCAAAAGGTGACTTGATCTGGACCTAAGTGACATCAGCAGACTTGAGGGCTGTCCATAGCACAGAGGAGTCAAGGGGCGCACCTGGCCACCTGCCCTGGCTGAATACAGCCACCTCATGTTGAGTTTTGAGTGCCAGGAGCCATTCAGGCAAATATCCAGAAGGCAGATGGGCCTAGGGAGCCAGAGTTCCAAGGGGCCAAAATGGTTTCAATATTCTCAAGATGTTAACTACACCCAGCCAGTGGCTCAGGGGTTGAGCATTGACCTGTGAACCAGGAGGTCAGGGTTCGATTCCCGGTCAGGGCACATGCCTGGGTTGTGGGCTCGATCCCCAGTGTGGGGCATGCGGGAGGCAGCCGATCAAGAATTCTTTCATCACTGATGTTCCTATCGCTCTCCCTCTTCCTTTCTCTCTGAAATCAATAAAAACATACTTTTTAAAAAAGATAACTACATGGAAGATGACAAGGGCCAGGGAGGAAGCCTCTCCCACCCATCCCTAGTCAAATACACGGGAGAGGCCAAACCCCACCCACCATATTCAGACATGTGTTAGAAGAATTGGGAGGTCATGGTCCTACAGCTTCAGGAAGGCCCAGGGACCAGCCATGACATGTTAGAGGGGGAACAGGCATAATCCCTGAGGCCCACCAGGCCTAGATCCTCAAGCCCTAGACCCTCCAGGCCTGACCCTCCTTCAAAGTCAAAAAAAGAAAAGAAAAGAAAAGGCACAGGGCCTTGGGCTGGGAGACAGGCCCTGTCACTGAGTTGGGTGAAATCAGGGCGGTTACTGCCCCCCTCTGGCTCCCTGCCTGCACACCCCCCCCTTTTTTTTTCCAGGTAAGGAGCAAGCCTGGCCCCTCCTCCTCTCTGGGCATGGAGGGATCTGGAAGTCAGGCTGGTGTAGCAGGCTGAAGGTTAGCACAGCTCAGCAAGCCCAGCAATGTTTCCTCCTAGCCCAGGCCTGGGCTGCTGCTCTGTGTTCACCTTATCAGTGACTTCACACCACACCACCTGACTCCCAGCACACCCATCTGAGTTCATTACCCCAGAGCTGGGACTTCCACCTGACCCAATGCCTGCCCAGCAGGCACCACTTCTCGGGGATCTGGATCCTTCCTGAGGGCTTCTTTAAGTGGCTGCCCATGGCCAGACCTCACGGGGACTCACTTTCCCACCTCCTGGCCTCCAGGTCCCATCCAGCTGTGGCACCTCTAGGTCTAATGTCCCAGCCTCCCTCCCTTCCTTTGCGCTAATTGCACCCGACACCCAAGACAAGCCAGGGGGAGGGGAGTAGTGGGGGTCCTGGTGCCTGAGCTGACCCCAAAGGGTCTCTCAGGCCCCAAGTGCCAGGCCGGAGGACCTGGACTTTGCCCCCAGGGCTGAGGATCCAGAGAAAGTTCAGAGCGGCACCACGCCAGTTGTAGGAGCCTTCACTCCGGACTGGGCGGTGGTGAGTCCGAGGAAGCAAAGTCGGACGTAAGGAGGGGTCTGGGGCGGCGGCGCTCACTGGAGTGGAGGAAGCACTTCCTCATTCCAGAGGCTGCGACTCACGGACGTCCGGACCGGCGCCCGCCCCCCGCAGCTACCCAGCTGAGGTCACAGGTCCGGGAAGGCCCTGGGTGCTTTACTGGATCCCCACAACCGGGCCTTTCTCCTCAGTCCTCCGCCCCGGCCGGCTGAAACGAGGTCCAACGCAGCGGCGGGCGGGGACTGGCCAGGTCCAGGATCTGAGGCTCCTGGGTCCCAAGCCTTTCCGGTTATGGCTGGGGAGCCCTGGGTTCGACGCTTTGCCAACCTGTGTGGGGTATCAGTTTACCGCTCTGCAAAGTGGGAGCAAGCCAAGAGGAGGAGGAGCCGCCGCCGCGAGAGCACTCACCACCACGGCCGTGACGGGCTGGCCCGGGATGTAGGACATCTCGACCCCAATCTGGGAGCCAGGAACCGCTCAGCGAAGCCCGCAGCGAAAACCCCGGCGACCGCGCCCTCTCCGGTTAACAAAGGCCGCCGGGCTCGGCCCGCCCCCTCATGAATAGTTAACAAGTCTCCAGCCAATCACCCGCCGGGTCGCTGCTGCGCTTTCGGAAGTCCCGGTGGGTGAGTAGTAAAGCGGGGAGGAGGTGGTGCCTGCTCGGGCGCCCCGCTGCGCATGCGCCAGAGGGCGGGAGCGCGGTCTTGACGCATGCGCAACCCGGGCCCTCCCAGCAGGCTCCAGGGCAAGATGGCGCCGCAGGGGACCGTACCGCCGACTGTCTGAGGGCACGCCGAGGGACTGCCACCGTGTTCCAGGTAAGCGGGCGAGCCCGGGCGGGGAATGCGGACGTGCTGCCGCTTTCCCCCCGTGGAAAGGTGAAGCCCCCGGGGGAGGGGGGGGAAAGGAGCGGCGTGAACCCAACTCGCCACACGCCGGGCGCCACTGGCACCTTGGTTTTCTCCGCAGCTCCGCGGGAAAGCAGAGGCCGAGTCCCCAGCGGGTGCGATGGCCGCGGTGGTGGCCAAGCGGGAAGGGCCGCCGTTCATCAGCGAGGCGGCCGTGCGAGGCAACGCCGCGGTCCTGGATTACTGCCGCACCTCGGTGTCGGCGCTGTCGGGGGCCACGGCCGGCATCCTCGGCCTCACGGGCCTCTACGGCTTCATCTTCTACCTGCTGGCCTCCATCCTGCTCTCCCTGCTCCTGATCCTCAAGGCGGGCAGGAGGTGGAACAAATACTTTAAGTCACGGAGACCTCTCTTTACCGGAGGCCTCATCGGAGGCCTCTTCACCTACGTCCTGTTCTGGACGTTCCTCTACGGCATGGTGCACGTCTACTGAAACGCGGCGGGGGTGACTCTTGTAGAAAACCCGACGGGGAAGACCGTTGCCAGGCAGGAACCACGTGTAGGCTTAACTTAGTTTTTAAATGGTTGGATTCACTGCTTGTTCTTGTAACGTCATAACTTATGCCAGAAGACGGAGAGCCTGTAATATTCTTCAGATTAAATGAAGCGTGAGACACTTGACGGAGTTTTTCCTGCTTTCACGCGTCCTCCCGACTCCCCCCGTCTGTGGTAGGTGCAAAATCGCCAAGTTTTGATGACTCCTGGAGAGCTGGGAGTGAGGCTTGACCTTCGGTAATTTCCTTGTGTTGACACTAGGGCCTGTAAACGGAGAGAACTTGTTAACACCTGTGGAACTAGGAACAGTAGATGTTTATTGTGTGCCCTATATACCGGGCATTATGTCGCGTGTGTTTTACACCCATCATCTCATTTGATTCTAGCAATATCCTTATGGAATAGATGTGATCATTGTCCCCATTGATGAACCTAAGGCTCCAGAGGAGGCACAGCTCCGAAAGGTCAGAGCCTGGATTCACATGTAGGTCTCTTCTTCCTCCTCCTTCCTCCCCCCCCCCCCCCCAACATATATTTTTCTTAACTTCAGAGAGGGGGAGAGAGAGAGAGAGAAATATCAGTGATGAGAGAGAATCATTGATTGGCTGCTTTCTACATGCTTCCTACTGGGGTTCCAGCCACAATCTGGGCATGTGACCTCCTGGTTCGGAGGTGCACTCTCAACCCCTGAGCCGCCAGCTGGGCCACATGTAGGTTTCTTAATTGCTCTTGCTGGGTTGGCTGAGTGGACCTTTTCAGAGCCGCTCTTTCCCTTCCACTAACCACTGCTTTCAGGTGTGAGTGGTGTCCTTTCAGTTCCATTTCACCTAGTTACAGCTGGCTGTCATTTCCATTTTAAAAATTAATTCAGGCTGTCTTCTAAAATAATCTGTGGGCTTGCCTAGGTGGTCAGTGCCTCTGTCTATATGCTAATCTGTGATTGCTTATCAGGAGGGTTATCTTAAAATAAAATTCATGTTTTAATTGAGGAATAAATGTTGCATTAAAGTTATAGTAGTGAACATGTTGCTTATGGAATTTATAGTCTTAACTGGGAAGACCAGCATTACCTAATTTCACAAATGTTTAAATTATGGTAAGTTCTATGAAGAGTACATAGGAACTCCAAACTGAACCCAGGTTGGGAGGTGAGGGGTCAAGGAAGTCTTCTTTGAGGAAATAACATTAGAGAACCGAAGGTTGAAAAACAGCCAAGTCAATTGTGGAGAAGGGGAACTTGGAAGAAAGCCAAGTACTCAAATTGGGCAGGAAGGAGTTTGGCCTGATTCTAAGAGCAACTGAGAGAAGTCTTTAGGAGTTTTAGCCCAGAGTTATGTGATCAGATTTGGATTTTTCAATCAATTTTAGATTCCCCTGACAGAAGGAAAGTAGATTGAATCCAAGTCCCCTTTTGCAGACAGTATTGCGCCATGGCCAATAATGGAAATGGGTCTGGGACCCAGACTGCCTGAATCCCATTTCGGGTCCTGGGCTACATGCTTGCACAGGAAGCCAAGAAGCTGAGGCCACAGCTTCGCCTCCCTCTCCCCCAGTGCTTCCTCTGAACCCACTCTGTCCACCACTGAAGATTCTCACTTTAATGGTTTGCATCCCCAATCCTCTCAGGGCCTTTTTGAGTGGGAAGGGGGTGTTCATTCCTGAAGCAGTGGGTCCTTGGGGGAGTAGGGAGGAGAAGGTAAATGAGCTGATTTACCTAACCATTCCTCTGTTATTAAGCAGTAAAGTTGTTTGAAATGTTCATTATTATGAAAGTACTGCAATGAATGTCTACATATCTATATTGTTTTGAGAATTTAATAGGCTAGAAGATTAAAACTTAATTTCAAATGCTTTCCAGAGTATTACCAGATTACTCATTGAATGAAAAGTGCCAGTTTTATCAGTGCCTTCTTAGTTGTTTTTGTTTTTTTTAATCTTTATTGTTCCGATTATTACAGTTGTTTTCCTTTTTCTCCCTCATCAGAAGCTCCTATCCATCCGGTTCCCACCCCACCCTATGCCCTTACCTCCCCCCATTGTCCTCATCCATAGGTGTACGATTTATTCCAGTCTCTTCCTGCATCCCTCACACTCCTTTCCCCTTGATAATTATCAACCCACTCTCTTTCTTTGCCCCTCATTATATTGTATTCACCAGTTTATTCTGTTCTTCAGATTTTTAATTCACTTGATTTTTAGATTCACTTGTTATAGATATGTATTTGTTGTTCATAATTTTTATTTTTACTTTTTTCTTCTTCCTCTTCTTAAAGAATATACCTTTCAGCATGTCATATAATACTGCTTTGGTGGTGATGAACTGCTTTATCTTTTTCTTATCTGTGAAGCTCTTTATCTGATCTTCCATTGCTGGGTAATCTTGGTTGTAGGTTCTTGCTATTTATCACTTGGAATATTTCTTGCCACTCTAGTCTGGCCTGCATAGTTTCTGTTGAGAAACCAGCTGACAATCGTATGGGTGCTCCCTTGTAGGTAATTAACTGTTTTTCTCTTGCTGCTTTTAATATTCTCTATCTTTTGGCATTTTCATTATGATGTGTCTTGGTGTGGTCCTCTTTGGATTCCTTTTGTTTGGGGTTCTGTGCACTTCCTGGACTTGTAAGTCTATTACTTTCACCAAGTTGGGGAAGTTTTCTGTCACTATTTCTTCAAATAGGTTTTTAGTATCTTGCTCTCTCTCTTCTTTTGGCACCCCCCATAATTTTGATGTTGTCCCAGAGGCTTCTTACATTATCTTCAACATTCTTTTTTTTTTTTTTTTTTTTTTTTTTTTTTTTTTTTTCTTTTCCAGTTGAGTGTTTTTTGCTTTTGTATTTCAAGTCTTTGATTTGATTCTTTCATGCTTTTGTATTTCAAGTCTTTGATTTGATTCTTTCATTCCTCTAGTCTGCTGATGGGTCTCTGTATAATATTTTTTCATTTTAGTAAGTGTATAATTTCTAGTTGGCCCTTTTTCATATCCTAGAGGGTCTCGTTAAATTTATCAGCCTTTTCTAGGAAATTCTTGAAAAACCTTTTAATGTGGTTTTGATTTCTATATCCAGTCATTTGTTCTCCTTCATTTCTTTCATTTGTGGTCTGTTTCTTTGACTCCGCATTTTCACTGCTTCCCTGAGTTCGTAGGGTAGCTTTGTGTGCTAGGTGTCCTATATGGTCCAGTGGGTCAGCCTCCCAGTTACCTGAGGGTGGACACTCTTGGTGCTCACCTTTGTGGACAGCCTTGTTGTAATTAAGCTTGCTTTTTTTTTTTTTTTTTTTTTTTTTGTAATTAAGTCTTCATTGTTGTTGGTATCACTAGGAGGAATTGACCTCTAGGCCAATTGAATGTGAGTATCAGCTGTGTCTACATCAGGATACCATCTGTATTGGAGATAGCCTTATAGGACCAGACTTGCAAAAATTGCAAAAGCCTCAGTGCTCAGTTTGGATGGGGCAGAGTTTCAAGGCTGAGCAGACAGTGTCAGCTTCCCATCTGCCCTGCCCTTGCATACTTGCCTCCAGACCTCTGCCTTCCGTGGCTCCCCTGAGTTTCTGCCTGACAGACCAGGTTTCCCCTGAAAGAGAGTCCACTAGGGGCTCGCCCGGAACTGGGATTCAATGCAGTCAGGAGCTTCCAACTTCTTCCGCTATGGAAAGCCTGTGGTAACCTCCGCAGTCAGACCTCTCTGCATGCACTCTCACGCACACACACCTCCAGACCCCTGCTCGCTGCGGCTCCCCCGAGTCTCCGAGTGCCTTTCTCTACAGTCCAGACTCCACGCATATGAGCCTGGGTCTGCAGGGTTTTGGCCAGGGTTGGGGTTCAGTGCAGTCGGAACTGGGGTTCAGTGCAGTTGGGGGCTTCCTTTCCCCTCCCGCCAGCCAGGCACTCAGCTGCTCTTCCTCTCTGTGTGTGCATCTCTGTACCTCAGCACTTTGTGGCTCCTTCTAGTTGTAGAATTTCTACTCGGCCAGCTTTCCTGTGGTTCTGGATGATGTCCGTTCTGTCTTTTAGTTGTTGTTTTGAAATTGTTGTGCAAGGCAGCAGTTTAGGTGCTTACCTAGGCCACCATCTTTCTCAACCTTTTTAGTCTTAATGTTTGCTCATCTAAAGAGTTTCCTTTCACTTTAATTTCTTTGCAAGATAATAAGGAACATAATATATTGTCCACTAATGATTTCTGTGTCTGCCTCTTTTGGGCTCATTTTCTCCTTACATTTTAATCTAAAACATGGGTGACCATGAAGACATGAAGGGAGAAAAATCATGACACATCTAAAGTTAACATTTGTGTTGTTTTATAACCAAATAAAAATGTCAGAGAACACAGACTCCGGGCAGTCCCAGAAAATGTGCCAGCTCCCTCCCCCTTCCTTTGATTCTGTGGACCGGCCTGAGGGGAAGCACACAGCTGGAAGAAAGGTGTGCCTTTGGGGGAGAGCGTTCTGTGTCCACTGGACAGTGTGCTGTAAGGAAAGGTGCGTCACTTGGTGCAGGGGGTGGGTTGGAACCAAGTAGGGCCCTTTTCCAGATACACGAGGTGCTGTTCCCAGTGGAATGATTTAGACTCTGTAGTCTAAGAGCGCTCGAGTCCTTAACTGGTGCTTAGAGACTCCTGGAGGAAGTCACATTTCCCCTTTACAGCTGGTTCCCCGGTTTTCAATCAGCCATTAAGAAGAAAGAACTGAGGGAGTGGCAGGGAAAAGGGCAGCTGTGATTGGTCAGTCCTGATGACCCTGCATCAGGAGTGGAGTGCATGGGGCTCTTTCCTGGCTGGTCCCTGTGATGTCATATTGATGGCACGCAGTTTACAAATGTATTTTTGAGCTGCAGCATGGCACTCCGGAGGCAATGAGTAAAATCAGAAGCAACGGGGGACTGTGCAAAAGCAAGGGAATTTGGTACAATGTGCTACTATCCAGTGCCTTGATGGGTCACTGGCTTTCCTGAGCATGGTGTCCCTGACAGTAGTAAGAAGGCCACCTAGACAGCTTTTCTGGAGTTGAAGAAATAATTAGGTTGAGTAAGTCTTCTATGGCTGTGAAGTTTAATGGGGCAAGGCTTAAAGTAAGTTGAAAAGAAAGCCTCACAGCTCCAGTCAGTCTTCATCCAGGTCCTTGGTTGTTCCTCATGTCAAGGTTTTCTTTTATGTGTGATTCCCTTACCTGGAATGCTTCCTCAGTCACCTATTTAGACTGCTACTAACCATTCAGATTTGAGCTAATACGCCGCTTTCTTGGGGAAACTCTGGCTACTCCACTGAAAACTCAGTTCAGTCTGTGACATGTGTGACTACCAGTTATTAAAGTTTAGCGCCCATGTCGAAACTGGTTTGGCTCAATGGATAGAGCCTCAGCCTGCGGACTGAAAGGTCAGTCCCAGGTTCGATTCCGGTCAAGGGCATGTACCATGGTTGTGGGCACATCCCCAGTAGAGGGTGTTCAGGAGACAGCTAATCGATGATTCTCTCTCATCGATGTTTCTAACTCTGTCCCTCTCTCTTCCTCTCTGTAAAAACTCAATAAAAAATATTTTTTAAAAAGTAAATAAAAATAAAGTTTAGCGCACAGGGCTGGAAACACTCCAGCAGGGACTCTTTGTTGCTTGCTATTGTGTTGCTAGCATTTAATCCAACACTTGACACAGTAGGTATTTAATAAATATTTACTGACTGAATAGTGTAGGAAGACATTTCATTCCAATATAAAATAAACAGTACAACTGTTCCTGTGATTTATGGCTCCTGCCAGGCAATTCCAAAAATAGGTTAAGAGAAACCAGATCAACCCTGAGCAGCCATGCTCCTGCCCTTGTTACTTCCTGCCAAACATAAGAGGCTAGATTGTCCACTCTTAAGAGTTGGCTTTAGTGATTAAGTGAAACATCATAATGGATCGCCCTGATTTTTCACTTTCTATTCAGAGAGCAGGTGGGCTATTGACTGGTTACCAGGCAGCCCAAGGTGAGGGAGCTGCTTGTTCCAAAGGGGTTCCTGTTCTGGGGACCACAACCTTCGGCCCTGGTGGTGGAGCTTCCAGACCCCTCTGACTCTCCCAAGGCCCCAGGGGAAGGATGCTTACCCCTCCTCTGCGTGCAGAGAACCAGGTTCCCCTGACTCCGGGGAGGTCCGAGAGAGCACTTCCAGAGAGGGCGCTCCCCAGGGTCCTGGCAGCTGTGCATCGGGCACTGTGGGCCTTTACTGCCATAGTTCAGAGTTCTAGGCCATTCCATCGTGCCCCTTTCTGACAGGCGTCATGGTCTGATGTTGCAGGCATGAGGAACAGTTCACGTCCTGAGTAACAAGTGGACTCTCAGTTTGAAAACGAGGGAGCCTCTCGGAATTGGTAACACAGGCTGCCTCGAGAACAGGTGGGAGGAAAGCTTTTGCTGTCTATTCTTTTGTACCTTTAAAATTTTGAATCCTATAAGTGTTGCCTCGTTAAAATATTTTGATTGAGTGTAATGCTCCTTTCCCTGGAGCCGGAAGAGGGTCCTATGGTCTCAAGGGAGAAGGAGTGTACTAGTAAGTCTGGCCTGGAAATTGGCGCCACCCACCAAGCTGGCTCTTTCCTCCCTCAGAATCAGGCTTTGCAGAGCTCCTCACCCGGGCAGGGCTTCTCAGAGTGTAAGGAGCCCCTGAGCCCCATTGCCACGCCAGCCCTGATTTAGGAGGAGGAAGGGCTAACAAGCTCCCGGGTGGTGCCAAGGCTGCTGGTCCAGGGAGCAGCGGGGTGGGATGGGAAGGAGGGTGAGGGGTGAGGGCCTCCCTAACAACTGTTCCCACCTGCTGAGTGAGCACCCTGTCCTTAGCCCTTCAGACCCAGCCAACCTTTGAGGAGAGGGGAAGGGGAGCTGGTTAAGGACAACCAACCCCACCAAATAGCAAGAACTAAACCAGAGGCAGTGTCTCCCATTTGGCGAGTTGCTATCCCGGGGCCTCCCTGCCTCCTCTCTGTGAAAGTCAGCTGGAGGCTGGAGGAGGGCCAGATGGCTGAGCCTGGCTGTGAGTCTGTAGTCTCTAGAGGAATTACACGGTGCTCCGCTCCCTGAGGGCCAGTTCAGCATCTCATTTAAGCATGTCTTGGATAGGGCCCAGCCCACAGCAAAAAAATGTTTACTGCATGTATGAATGTGTGAATGAATGTCCAAGTAGGCTCTCAGACAACATGGAAACACTTGGTATTATTTACACCCTGGCCTGCCCCTTCCTTCTCTAGCATCTCTCCTCCCAGCCCTGAGCCACTCTGACACTGGGAGGTTCCCCTCCCCCACACACAACAAAAAGCTTGTAGCAAGATCCCAAAGTGCAGGAGGGGTGGTGGCGCCTGAAGTCCCAATCCATGCAGACACAGGCTCTTCCCTCTCCCGTTCAGAGCTGCAGCCGTCCTCACCAAATCTGCTCTCAGCCGCCTCTGGCTACGCCTCCACCGTCTGCAGGTTCTGCAGCTGCTCCGCAGTCACCTTTCCGTTCCCCGGGTGGCCAGACCTGTGTGTGGATGGTGGTGAGCGCCCAGAGGGCAGAGGGTGGTTGGGAACCCTATGGACAGTGACAGCCTCTCAGGCAGCACGCAGGCAGAGCATCCACAGAGAGGGGCAGTGTGCCAGGGTCTCTGCTGCAGCCCAGGAACTCAGATGTCCAGGCCGAGTCCTCTGGAGCTGTCCCAGCAATGACTGCAGCCACCGCATGACCAGCATGGTGGCCATTCTTCCCTCTCACAGGCTAAGGAGCTCAGGCAAAACTGTCCAACAAGTGACAGTCTGCTCAGGGGGCGTGTGGGGGCTGCTAAATGCCCAGCCCCCAGCAGATCCCTAGCCTCCACTACCTCCTGGCCCAGCTGCTGCAGTTCCTACCACTTCTCTTCACTCCTCTCCATCCTCTGCCTTCCTCTCTGCCACAGCCCTTTTATCATCATCCTTTCCTGCCCAATCCCAGCTTCTGGTTAGAGGATGCCAACTCCTGAGTTGGCCAAGAATGAAAGCTGGGGTGGGAGGAAAGTCCACCCAGGCCAGTGAACTCCTGGGATGTGGTTTACAAGAGGAGAGTTGCAGAATCATAGCCTGGCTGAACATGAGGGCTCCTCTGGGCAACCCCCACTGGGGAAAGAGGCAGGGTGGGGGGGAGGGCAGGCCCAGAAAAGGCAAGGCCTCTCTCAAAGACACAAAGCAAGGCAGAGGACCAGGCGGACCTGAAGGCCATCTCCTGACAGCCCAGGGCTCCCTCCTGCACCAGGCTGAGGTTTCATCTGCAGAGCCAGCTGCTGCCCAGGGCAGTGCCCCAGGGAGGGACTGCCTGTCAGCACAGCCACCACCCCTCCAACCTAGGGCAGCTACACAATTTCCATGGAGAGCCACTTAGGGAAGGCGTTTGACTGGCTGAGGGGATGGGGCTTGATAAAACAGAATAACCTGATGGAAAAGAACTGATTCTAGACACACTGCCTGGATTCAAACCCCAGCTCTGCCATTTATTAGCTGTATGACTTACTTAACCTTTCTGTGCCTCTGTTTCCTCATTAGTGGAATAGAGAAAGTTAGTGTCCAGCTCATTAAAGTTGCTGAAATGAGTTCACATATACAAATTGCTCAGAGCCATGCAGGGCAGAGAGTTAAGCCAGAGTAAATGATAGCCCTATTGTCTTAACGCTGGGATAGCACAGCAAGCAGACTGCCTTGTGGTTGCTAAATGGGACTGGGGAGCTAATGAGGGTCATGGAGGGGCTAAAGCACGACTAGCACCCTCTCCTCCCAGTGTCCAGCTTGGTTGGGCGTTCCTGGATCCTGCCATTCCAGGATCCTTGGTTGGGTGTTCCAGGGACCTCAGCAGCCTGCTCAGGAGGTGCCAGCTCATTCAGCCATTCTGGCCACCACCTTCATCCTGTGCCCAGCAGCCCAGGCCCCTCTGCTTCGTCTTCAGCCTCTGTGACCCTGTTCTGCTGCAAGGACTCTGCCCACAGGGCAGGGATCTCTAGGTACCTGGGCAGGACTTGCCATTCACGCTGGCCTGCACAGCCTGGCCTCCCCCAAGGACTGGTGGGGCAGGCCCTGCAGAAGGTCCCTCTTCCTCCAGCAGCTCAGCTGGAGTGGCACAAGCAGTCAGGATTCAGTCTGAGACTAGGGTCAGGGCTCGGGGCTCAGCCTCTGAACCAGGCTGGGGTTCAAGCCAGGTGAATGATGCAAGCTGGCCACCTGCTGTCTTAGGTTGTGGTGGATCTGAGGGATCGCCACTTTAAAATTCCCCATTCTAATCCCAAGGAGCCTTCCCAAGGCCTGGGCCAGAGCCCCTTCCCCTTCCTTCCTGCCCACAGACACAGCCCAACAAGCCCACAGCCAGGAGAGCCTGGAAACAGGTCTCTGTAGTAAAAGAGGAAATCCATTTTCTTTCTTCCCTTGCCACTCCAGCCTCCCTCAACCCAGCCCCAGGACTGCCAAGTCCAAGTATACTAAATCATAAGTGCAAGAAGGCACTGAATATAAACCAGTTCTCTCATTTTGCAGAGAGAAACGGAGGCCCAAAGAAGCCTGGAAACCAGGCTTTTCCCTCTGCCAGCTGCTCTGAGGAGGAGTCTTGTTTTATAGAGCATGTACTCCAAACAGTCTACCTCCCTCCCTTCCGGGGCGGCTCCCCACGTTCACCCCTCACACACCAGGCATGGCCATCCACCCAGGGTAAAGGTCCTAAGACAGGGAGGGGAGGCTGGCTCCACAGGGCTCCCAGGGGACCACTGGGAGGAAGCATAACTCACCGTACTTCCTCGAACTTCTTGTTGCGGTAAAAGTGGCTCTTTTTGATCAGGTAGATGAGTATCAGGTCACAGAAGAAAGATCCCTGCAAAAGAGTTGGGGGTCCCTGACTCAGACCCTACACTTCTGGAGAGCCCACAGATACGTGACCACTGCATCCTGTTTCATTCTGTAGCAATACCAGAAACGTGCATCCTTGTCCCCATTCACAGATGGGGACACTGGGATCAGAAAGAGGCACCTTTCAGCTCACGAGGCTGGCCCACAGGAGAGCCTGACGTTCATCTAATCGTGTTTAACAAACCCTTGCTGAGCATTCACATGTACCAGGGAGGACTAAGGCAATGAGACCCGCTGGGGACTCTCTGGTGTAAGAGGCAGGCATGTAACTTATGGCCCATGGTGATGTGTCTTATGATGAGGAGAAGGAGATTGAAGGCAGGACTTGACTCAGCTGGGTTGAGTCTTGAGGGCTTATAGGAATTAATACAAAAAGCTCAGGAAGGGCATTGCAGAGAGGAACAAGCTCGTCATGCCTGGGAAATTCCACAGAGCTGTGGGGGAAGAGTAAAGACATTTCTGGAGAGCTGGATAGGGACTGAAAAGTCTTCAAGGCACTGGTTCTCATCCTCTCTGAGGGCGCTGTATAGGGCAGAACGCAGAACTGTGGCATTTTAAAAAGGAGCTGGGAATCAGCGGAAGAGATGGGGTGTAGGGGATGCGGATAACAAGGATGCTGCAGTGGTGGCCAAGGAAAGATGAGGCAGCCAGCCTAACCCAGGTGGGGCCTGCTGACGCCTGAGCACATGCACTTCAGGCAAAGTGCATGTAGCAATGCCTGTCTTTCCACCAGGGGGCGAATCCACCTCAACACAGCTGGTTTCCAGAATGAGTAAGGGTCGGGGGTGGGAAGAGTTGATGGATGGGCCCATAGGTGAACCTGGTCCTCTGACTCTGGGCTCTGCACACTTTTTTTGTTTTCTGTTTCTTTTCCCAGATGCTAGAAATGCTTTTTTTTTTTTTTTTTTTAGCAATCCCTTGTTCCACAGAGCCACAGTTAAGAAACCCTATATACAGGTGCATCCTGCCCCTTTTTAGAAGTAGAGATGAAGCTTTAAAAGTTCAGGGGCTAGCCGAAACCGGTTTGACTCAGCGGATAGAGCATCAGCCTGCGGACTGAAAGGTCCCAGGTTCTATTCCAGTCAAGGGCAATGTACATAGGTTGCGGGCACATCCCCGGTGGGAGTTGTGGAGGAGGCAGCTGGTCAATGTTCCTCTCTCATTGATGTTTCTAGCTCTCTATTCCTCTCCCTTCCTCTCTATAAAAAAATCAATAAAATATATTTTTTTAAATTAAAAAAAGTTCAGGGACTAATCCAGTTGTTGTATATTTACCCCATGGAATACTATGCAGCTCTAAGAAAGAAGGAACTCTTACCCTCTTCGACAGCATGGATGGACCTGGAGAGTATTATGCTAAGCAGAGTAAGCCAGTCAGAGAAAGATAAATACCATATGGTCTCACTTATATGTAGAATCGAATGAACAAAATACACTGACGGAACAAAATCGAACCACAGGCATGGATACATGAAGCAGAGTGACAGGTGTCAGAGGGAAGGGCGGTGGGGGGGACTAGATGAAAGATGAAGAGATTAGCCAAAGAACACATTTCATAACCAGTGGACACAGACAACAGTAGGGTGAAGGCCAGAAGGAGGGCTGGGTGGTGGAGGCTGACTAGAGATGGGCAAATGGCAGGGAGAATGGGGACATCTGTAACTGTCATAATAGAATAAAAATTAAAATTCAGGGGTTAATCCTGTATCCCAGAGAACCCCCAGCTCCGGAGCAATAGGGAGATGCCCCTGGCTCCAGGCAGTCCTCTGCCCCCTGGGGCCCCTGGCGGGGTGTGAAGTCCAGAAAGTCCTTTGCTGGCACTTGCGCTGACCTGCCAGTTCTTGGTTTCTGGGGCATTTGGACAACTCCCCTGGAGTGGAATCCCCTCCCCCCACCAGTGTACAGAGGGTAAAGGGGAGGGAGGGGGGAGATACTCACAACACCCATGAGTGCCACCCCTGAGCCCACGTTGATGATTGTGGGGATGATGTTGAACTTCCCTGCCTGAAGCACAGAGAGAGACAAGGCAGGGTGAGGGAGCAGGTGGGTAGCAGGGTCCCTCCCAACATACCTGCCCAGCCTCCCAAGGGGAGACGCCTACCCTGCCATTCACCAGGACATCAAAGCGGATCCCGTAGGCTTTGATCAGGGTACGGAACTCCACCCCAGCTTCATCACGGTAATATTTGGCAAACCTGGGGAGACACAGCCCAGGGGAGATCTCGGCTGCGTTTGAGATTTATAAGCATCTCCAGGACCTCGCTCACAGCAGCCCTGGGAGAGGTTGCAGACCCTCTTGCTGACATGCCTAAGATTCATCTTTGAAGTCCTTGTCAGACACTCCTCAAGAGGTAGGTGCTTTCCCACTGCACACTGGCCAACCTGGGGCCACCGGAGAACGGGGAGAGCTGAGCCGGCTGAGCGATGACTCACCCTGTGTCCTCTCCAGAGGCCATCCCTCCTCAGCTGTCTCTCCCTGCACCTCCGCCCTGACACTTACCAGGAAAGGGTGTCATAGTGCTGGCACCAGGAAAGGACACGAAACATGGATAGAGTCATAAGGCAGCAGGCCCAGCCCATTACCTGAAGTTATACCCAGAGGAGACAGAGTTTCCGGAAAACCTGCGGTCCAGCCGGCTAAAATAATAGCGAGGGTTGCATTCAGAGGGAGCTTTGTCAAGATCACAGTCCCACTCGATCTGGATCCCTATCACACCGCCCTGGGTGGGAAAGAGGAATCCGTGTCTGGGAGATGGACAGCAGTTACAGACCCACTCTCCACCGACAGCTGGACAAGACTGGGGACGCCTTGAGGCCAGGGGTCAGCCCACTGGAGCGTCCTGGAAGGAAGGTGAGAGGCCCAGGAGGGGCTGGGAGAAGTGTGGCTGGCAGCCCCCAGCCCCGCAGCCTCCTGCCTCCAAGAGAACTACCCGCTGAGCACTTACTACACTATGGACAGGCACCTTACACAGCCAGGATGTGCCCGTGGGGCTCCTTTTGGTGCAGTTTCAGCTGCTGCCCCAGCAACTAAGAACCAAACGGCAGGTGCTGAGTGTACCCCTCACTGAGTGCTCAAGGTCCGAATGCAGGCACAGCTGCTGTGTCACAGCAAATTCTGAAAACAGGAAGTCCCTGGGGCAGGGGACTTTGCAGGGCCACCCCACCCCATGGGTTCCCCCACACACCCCTCCTCATTCAGAGCCCCGAGGCCCCAGGGCAGGCTCCCTGAGGCACGCACCCACCTGCACGGCTATCTCCTGGAAGTTGCTCCCCGTCCACCTGACCACAGACCCCAGTCGGAAGATGGGGCAGTAGGGGTCCTTGGGGCCAAACCGACAGGACTTCAGGTAAGCTCTGTCCTCGGTGTCCAGCACATTGGTCCTGGGGGCGGCCAGGAACAGACAGTGAAATGAAGGCACACTTGCTGTTTCCAGGCTGAGTCCCTGACTTTAGCTCTCCACATCCACGCTGACATCCCACCGCTTTCAAGAACAGACCCTCACCCCACTGCAGGGAGGGCGTCCAGCCTCCTCCTGCGGTCCATTCACACCCAGTGTCACCCACACACACACACACACACACACACACACACAGGGGCCAGCCATGGCCCCAGCCCTGGGTCCCCAGAAGCCGAGCCCCACATACTTGGAGAAGTTGAATTTGGGAAAACGAATGAAGTTCTTGATGTAAATGGTGAAGTCTTCGGCCTTGCCCAGGAGAGGCTTCCTGAAAACCCAGCCGGACAGCCTGCTTAGGAAGCCCTGCCCTCCACACCGTGGCCCGCCCCCTGCTGCTCCCAGGGTCCCCTGGAGCCTTTGCCAAGGGCAGTTCATGGTGGGGTGGAGTTCAGGCCTTTGTGGGGTGTCCTTGGAATGAGGATCTGGGAGTGGACATGCCTCTGCCATCAGACTTGGACCTGCTGCCCAGGACTGGGAAACCCCTTGGGGTCCCAAACCACAGCCACATACTCCGGCCTGGACTTTGTTTCCACTGGGCACCAGGCGAAGATCTCGCAGGTGCCTCTTTGCATGTTCTCCGCCCGCAGGCAGCGGCCAGTCCTCACTCCTGCAGGTGGGGACAAGGGTGGTGCCAGGAGCCTCCAGGCCCCAGCCTTCTCTCTACCCCCCACGCCCCGCCCCGGCCATCCAGGCCTCACCATTTCCAGTCACGACAGGCTCCCCAGGAGGACAGTCACTGTCCTCGGAGCACACAGCGTCGGGAATGCTTTCATTCTGCCAGGAGAGAAGGGGGCCTGTGTGGAGGGCTCCCCTGCAGGTTCCCAGCTCAGCCAGTCCCACCCCAGGGGTCGGACAGAGGCTCCTCCCTGCCTGGGGCCACAAACCCTTTGAGAACCTTTCTCCCCCAGAGAACAGGCACATGCACCCTGTACATCCCCCTGCCCAGGGCCCTGGGGGGACATAACTGCTTCTGGAGATGGGCACAGCCCTCCCTACCCTTCTCCCGCCCCTGCCCCGTGCTAGGGTCTTCCTCCACCTCCCAGCTCTGGTGCCAAAGCAAACCTCAGCACAGGTTTCCTGCCGCTGGTTGGGGGTCACAATGAGGTTGGTGATGACGAAGAAGACGTTCTCCCCCTGAGCAACCAGAGAGGAGTTAAGGAACCCTCCTTCCCAGGGCTGCCTGGCAGGGCGGGGCCTCTGCATGGTATTGGGGACAGTGGAGCCATAAAATCAGTGGCTCCCATCCCACCCATCTGCCCACTGTCCTAGTCCTTTAATGGGTTCCTCCCAGACCCACACCTACAAACCGCCCCTGCCCCACAAATCTCTGTTCTGACCTCAGCCCCTGGGGTCCAAGCACGGATCCAGGAGGAAAGCAGTAATGGGGCAGCTCCGCCCTGGCCCAGGGAGACTGTGATCCGGCCAAGGAGCTGATCTAAGGGACTCACACCAACTTGGAAATTCCCTGAGCCCCATTGGTTTCAACAGGTTCAAGGTTTGCTGGGAACAGAGCAGTCCCATGAGGCACAGAAAAGGAGGGCAGGAGTTGGACTTGGGGTAGGATCTGTATAGGATCTCTCTGTGCAAACCCTGGCAGCTGTTCTGGGCCACGGGAGACAATGAATGGAGGTCCTTGGGTCCCAGCGCCCTGCCAGCCGGGGTTCAGACCTGGGGTGGGATGACGTAGTCAGCAACGTCCCAAAGCCGCTCCCCCAGCTCCGAGGTGTTGGTGAAGATCACGCCCTTGACTTTGGTGATGATGCTGCTCTGCAGGGAGGTGTCAGTGTCTTGATAACTCTTCTTCACTAGGAATACCCAACTGCGGAAGGGCCAATAGGTGGGTGTCAGCCCAGGTTAGGCTCCACCCTGCCCACCACTCCTGGACTGGGTCACAACTCCCACTGCTGCCTGGAGCCCATCCTGCAAGCAGCAGAGGTGACAATCCCAGGTGAGTGTGCTGCTCTCAGTGAGGCTGGGATGAAACCTGCTCACCTCAAACTGGCTATAGGCCCTCAGGCAAGCCAATGACCTCTGGGGTTAACAGAACAACAGCACCTTCCTCCAGGTGTAAGGAAGGTTAAAGGTCATGGTGCATAACCTGAACCAATCACAGGGGGGACCTCAGTCAAACCCAAACTAAGGGGCAGTCCATAAAATTCGAGAGCAAGAAAAAATAGGTAAGTTGGACTTTACCAAAATTAAGAACTTTTATGCATCAAAATACACTATCAAGAAAGTGAAAAGATAATTCACAAGATAGGAGAAAATAATTGTGAATTGTATAACTAGTAAAGACCTGGTACCCAGAATATATAAAGAAGTCTTACAACTCAACAGTACAGAAGACAAATAACCCAGTTTAAAATTGTGCCAAGGATTTGAATAGGCATTTCTCCAAAAAGATATACAAATACCCAATAAGCACATGAAAAGATGCTTAACATCATTAGTCATTAGGGAAATGCAAATATAAACCACAATGAGATATCACTTCACACCCAATAAAATGGCTATAATAAAAAAATGGAAAATAACAAATGGTGAAAATGTGGAGCAACTGGTACTGGTGATGGGAATGTAAAATGGTATAGCTGCTGTAGAAAATGGTTTGCAGTTCCTCAAAAAGGTTACCTTATAACCCACCCAAGAGAATTGAAAACATGTTTACATAAGAAGTGTACATTAACATTCTTAGCAGCATTATTCATAATAGCCAAAAAGTAGAAACAGTCCAAATGCCAACCAACCAATGAATAGATGAACAAAATGTGGTATATCCATACAATGGAATATCATCTATATATATAAAGAGCCAGGGTCTATAACGTCCAAAATGACCGAATGAACACCAGAAGCCAGTCCTGCAGTCACGACCCAGCACTGACTGCCAAGGGGGCTGCGGATCAGGCCAGGAGAGAGGACCAGAGACAGAAGCAGGATCTGATCCTCAGACTCCATGGCAGCTGTTGATCAGCTCTTGCCTCTCCTGTTCTTGCCAGCAGCTGTGGGGGCTGCCAATCAGCCCCACCTCTCTGATCAGACCTGGAGAAATGCCCAGAGAGGCTGACTGACATAGAAACTGACCAATCAGAACTAAATCTGGGTGAACTGCAAGGAGCTAATGGCTGCCTAAGAGGCAGAGCTTTTGATGCTGACATAGAAACCAACCAATCAGAACCTAATATGGGTGGACTGCAAAGGCAGAACCTAAGGTATGGAGTTGAGGATGGGTTTTAAGAGCAACAGATGTTTGGTGTAAGGTATAAGAAAGTGGTTAAACTTTTTAGTGACCAGTTTGACTAGATAGTGCATATGTCTGGCTATCAGTCCAGATATAAGGATTATGTTTTTTTGTCTGTTAAGAGCATCTCCTCCTGCTGAAAAAGGCTCCTCACACCCCATTTAAGCAATCCTATCCTATATAATCTATCTGTACTAATAAAAGGATATATGCTAATTAGAGCGGTTGACCAATCATCTTCCAGACATCTGACTTCCTTCCTGACAAAGCCATGGTAGTGGGGGCCGAGGCAGAGGCAGTTAGGGGTGATCAGGCCAGCAGGGGAGGGCAGTTAGGGGTGAGATCAGGCCAGCAGGGGATGGCAGTTAGAAGTAATCAGGTAGGCAGGCAGGTGAGCAGTTAGGTGCCAGCAGTCCCAGATTGCAAGAGGGATGACCAATTATTGGACATTACCCAAGGGGTCCCTGATTGGAGAGGGTGCAGGCTGGGCTGAGGGAACACCCCCACCCCTGCACAAATTTTGTGCACCGAGCCACTAGTTCAGTCATAAAAGGATTGAAGTACTGACACATGCTTCAACATGGATGAACCTTGAACACATTATGCCAAATAAAAGAAGTCAGATAAACAAAAGCCATATAATGTAGATTTGTTTTCTAAGAAATGGCCAGAATGGGCAAACATATAGAGGCAAAAAGTAGGTTCGTGGTTGCCAAGGGATTAGGGGTAGGGGAGAATTATGACTGACTGTTAATAGATACAAGTTTTTTTGGGGGGGAGGATGATATAAATGTGCTGGAATTAGGTACAACCGCAAGGCAGATGGTTGTACAATATTGTGAATATTCTAAAAACCACTTAAGTGTATAATTTAGAATGACTGAAATGGTGAATTATATACTATGTATATTTTACCTGAATTTAAAAATGGATTTTTAAAAATTCGATATTCTTCAGAAAATGGCAGTGTCATGAATCACAGAGAAAGACTCAGGAACAATTCCAAATTGAAGGAAACATGACAATGAGTGCAAGGCATGAGCCCACATTATTGAGACAATTTACAAAATGTCAATAGCTTAAACAACAATGACATTTCAATGCTAATTTTCCTAATTTTCCTACTTGTACTTGGTTAAATAAGAGAATTCCTTATTTTTAAGAAATACACAATGAGCAAAGAGGGATTGTGTTTGCTATCTACTCAAACAGGGGAAAAAAATGCCTATCTATATGGAGAGAGAAAGCAGGACAGCACAAATGTAGTAAAATGACATTTGGAGAATTTAGTTGTGTGATGGTCTTCAGTACCCCCCGTGAAAGTGGCCCAGACCCCCCTGCTAGAGGATGTGGGTTGATATACCTTAGCCACATATAACCTCTGCTTTTATGAGAATAGTTCTGTTACCTGACTTCACCCCACGCATATCCTGCCCACTGTAACCGCACGGCAGAAAAAAAGAAACAAAAACTAAGATAACAGAAACCGCTTGAGGTTAAGCTTGAACCCAAGCCCAGGTGTTACTGCAAAGAAAAAAAAATTTTCCCCCTCTCCTCCCCCCCTTCCTTCCCCCCACCGAAACCAGTTTGGCTCAGTGGTAGAGCATCGGCCTGCAGACTGAAAAGTCCCGGGTTCGATTCTGGTCAAGTGCATTGCAGTCAAGGGCATGTACCTTGGTTGCAGGTGCATCCCCGGTGGGGGGTGTGCAAGAGGCAGCTTGGTCGATGTTTCTCTCTCATCGACGTTCCTAGTTCTCTCTCTCTCTCTCCCTTCCTCTCTGTAAAAAATCAATAAAATATATATTTTTTTAAAAAAAATTTTCCCATTGCTTTTGTAACTAACCTTTCTTTGTTAAAGATTTCAGCCAATCACAAATTGCTAAATCTCCCTGTGTTGGAGATAAAAACTGCTTGTTGCCAAGGTTCGGGGCCCTCGTGGCTCTCTGCTGTTATCAGTTGAGACGTGAGCCTGGACTCGAGACCGTAATAAAGGCTTCCTAAATTCCAATTTGGCTGTCTGGTGGTCGTCATTCGCGGATCGCGCGCAACAGTTGAAGGGCATTTAAAAAGTATTTTTACTATTGTACCTTTTCTATAAGTCTAAAATTATGTCAAAATACAAAAAAAAAAAAATTTAAACACTGAGATGGTGCATATACATTGCTTAGCACAAAGAGTGCCTGGCACAGAGCAAGAGCTCATTGAATGCAGCTCACCAGTTTATTGCTGATGTTACTGTTAATATTAGAGACTGTTCAGGCTAACTGAACCTTGGGAAAGCTGGGGAGACTGAGGCCAGGAGAGGTCACGCAGTAGTGGTGTGGCATGCCAGTAAGGGTTCTCTGCAGAGCTGGTGTCAACCAGCATGTGTCCACCCTCTTCCTCTCTGGGGGCACAGCTGGCCTGTCCTGGGCCCTAGACTGGCCTGTCTTTCAGGAACTCTGAGAGGGCTGTGACCCTTGAGCCAACCAGCCATTTTGGAAGGGTCACACTGGGCTCTACCTGGACAGAAACACCCAGCAAATACTCAGGAGCATTCATTCCCTCATTCATCCACACCATTGCCCGAGTGGTTAGTGATGCCAGGCCCCTTCCGCATGATGTTCCCAGCCTCATGGGGAATCAGACACAGACATTAAGCAAAGGGGCCTCCAAGCAAGCATGTAATTACACTGTGGGGGGTTATTTGACATGTGGGAGGAAAGGAGAGGGAGCTGTGGGAGGTCCCAGATCGGAAGAAGGAGCAGACACCGCCCAGGTGGAGGAGGAAGGGCACTCCTGGCTTAGCAGCAGTTTAAAGGCCGTCAGGTGGGAGACATGAGGGCGAAACTGGGGAAAGGCCAGGTGATCAGGGCCGCCCTCCTGCTGGAGCATCTGCTCCTCTCCCAGTCGGGAAATGGGAGGGGCGGGCCACTGAAGGAGTGAAAGAGGCGCACCTGCATCCCAGTCTCTGTGGCCATTTCCTCCCCCACTTGTCCCCTCCCTACTCAGGGGCCAGGGCTCTGGGCAGTGCCCGGCAGCGGAACCACCCCAAGGAGCTGCCCCTCTGCTGCTGGCACCAGCTTCTGCCAGGTGGGAGGGAGATGTGGGGGGACCGAGGCCTGTGGGGCAGGCCCCCCAGCTGGACACCGGAGTGGCCAGCCACGGTGGGGTGAGCTGACCAGAGGGACATGCCAGCCTCATGAGCGGCCCCAGCGGGAGGCTTGGCTCTGAGCTCAGTGATTATAAATAACCTCCCTGTGTGGGTGGCTTCTGGGACGACAGCTGCAGCCCAGCCCCCTGCCACCTTGCCCCTTCCCACCGGCCCAGGCCCGGAGGAGGGAGCCGCCTGGGAAAGCCGCCTGGATCCCCTGCCGCATCTTGGCACCTCGGGAGCCGGTGTCCCCGGAGCAGAGGGCTCCCTCCTAACGCCCACCCTTACCCCCACCCTCACCCAGGGGACACGAGGTGACACAGGCCAGGCCCGCCCCACCCCTCCCCAGCCCGCACTCACACCACCAGGTAGGTCAGGATGGAGAGCTGCAGCAGCCGGTAGAGCAGGCCCACCTTCTTGTTCTTGGCGATGACATACTTCTCCGTCTTGTAGTCGAACAGCGACTGGTAGAGCCCCTTGCAGCTCGCCTGCCCCATGGCGCCGGCTCACCTGGGCCCGGGCTCGGCGCCGCCCGCCCCTCGCCGTGGGCGCCCGCCCCGCTGCGGCGCCCGGAGCCGCGGGAGCGCGTGGGGCCCGGAAGGCACTGCGGGGCGGGGGCGGGGGCGGGGGCGGCGCCGAGGGGACCGCGACCTTGCCGCCGCCGCCGCCGCCGCCTGCGAGCTGACACGGTGACACCAGCGGACTGGACCGCCGGAGCCGCCCGGCGTGCCCCCGCCAGGGCGCGGGCAGGCGGCGCAGGAGGAGTGAGCGCCGGGATGGAGGAGGGGGAGGAGGGCTCTCCTAAAGCAATCTCCCTCCCCCTCTGCACTGGCTCCTCCTGGAGTGGATGGGGAAACCGAGGCCTGGGGAGGAGGGACCTGCGCCCAGGAAGCGGATGTGAAAAGGGACGAAAAGCATTTGGAGGTAAACGCCAACAGGTGTTTCTGGCTCCCGGGAGCACCAGGCCCACCACACAGGCTGGGGGAGAGGAAGGGTTTGACAGAACGCAGCTGCGGCCGGCGGGTGGTAACGCCTCGCCCAGGAGTCAGTGCCCGCACGCAGCCAGGACCTCTGCACCACCTGGGGCAGGTGGGCTGGGGTGGGAGGCACAGGCAACCAAGGCCCCGGAGCATCACGTACATCTGCGGAGAGGGCCTGTGCCAGCCGTCTGAATCGGTCCAAAGCACGACAGAGACCTAAGCTAGGCCGCCAAGACTGCAGCCCTCATGGCGGTGGAGCTAACTGAGGGAGTGGGGCCGGGATGAGGGAGGTCACCTCGGAGATCACCTCAGAGAGGGGGGCTCTGGGAGCTCTCTCTTTGTGTGAGGAGCTGTGCTTGCTCCTTTTCTGCCTCCTGCCATCCCAGGACCCTGCCCCTCGCCCTAGCCGGCCCTCCCTCCCCACATACACACAAGAGCTTCCTCTCTCTGAACCCTGGGCTCTGGGCGTGGGAAAGGACCCTGAAGCTCACCAGGTACTGTCTCCAGGTTCAGCGTTTATGGGAATCGGTCGGAAGGAACATGCAGATTCCTGGACCCTGGCCCTAATGTTTTTATTTGCTAAATAGGGCCTGGAAATCTGTATTTCGCTCTCAACTGACATTTAGAAGCACAGATCCTTGTACCTTTTCATCAATTTCAACTCAAATGCCATTTCCTCAAAAAGGCTTGTTCTTATCACCACCCACCAAAAGTACTCTTTATTGGTTTGAGAGAGAGAGAGGGAGGGAGAGAGAGCAACATCAATCTGCTGCACCCTGCAGGCCCCTCACCCAGGATCAAGCTCATAACCCAGGCATGTGCCCTGACCAGGAATCAAACCGGTAACTTTTTGATTCATGGGATGATGCTCAACCAACTGAGCCACTCCAGCCGGGAAGTGCCTTAGTTTCCACGTCACCTAGGCTGACCCACTCTGTGAGCCCAGCCCAGCCAGAGATGTAACTGTGCCGTCCATTTCCCACTGGCTGGAAGGAGGCGGAGGTCAGCTGAGAAGCTAGGACTAGGAGGTTCTGGGCCATGCGCTGAAGGGATCAGTCCTCTAGAGCCCTTGGCTGCCTCCCGATGACGTTTCATGTGTAGCTCACACATCTGCCCTGCTGGGGCCTGAACAAAACCGCCTTACTGGCCGTGCAGTAAGTTTCCCCTGGAGGGAAATTCCCCTGGAGGGAAATGGGCTCCCAGGATGCCCCATGAGTGAGGGTCAGTCAAGAGACGGCACCTTCTGCAGGTGCTGTGGGGCCGAGAGCTCCACCTGGTCTGCCAGGAACTGACTGGATGCCTTTCAACTTCACTCCCTGGGTCAGGGGTCAGGGGTCAGGGGTCAGGGGTGACTGGCTAATGTTCAAAGTAGTCAAAGCCCCCTCTGGCCTCACCACTATGCCCCTTCCCTCCCCTCTCCCAACGGAGTCCACATCACACTTCACTGGAAGTTTTCCACACGAAAGGAAAGGATTGACCGTGAACCGTTCTCATCTGGTTCACACTCTGCCTAGGTGGGCGGTATAAGGCACCAGTGGTGAAGCGACAGGGAATTATGGAGTAAACTTAGAAAGAGTGTTCCTCCCACCGAAGCCGGTTTGGCTCAGTGGAGAGAGCGTCGGTCTGCGGATTGAAAGGTCGCAGGTTCGATTCCGGTCAAGGGCATGTACATGGGTTTCGGGCACAACCCCAGTAGGAGATATGTAGGAGGCAGCTGGTCGATGGTTCTCTCACATCGATGTTTCTAGCTCTCTATCCCTCTCCCTCTCTGTGAAAAATCAATAAAATATATTTTTTTTTAAAAAGAAAAAAAGAGCATTCACTTTTCTTTTTTTTAAAAAGAAAAAAAGAGCTCACAAACATGGTGAACGTTCCTAAAACCCGCCGAACTTTCTGTAAGAAGTGTGGCAAGCATCAACCCCACAAAGTAACACAGTACAAGAAGGGCAAGGATTCTCTGTATGCGCAGGGAAAGCGGCGTTATGACAGGAAGCAAAGTGGCTATGGTGGGCAGACTAAGCCTATTTTCCGAAAAAAGGCTAAAACTACAAAGAAGATTGTGCTGAGGCGTGAATGCGTTGAGCCTAACTGCAGATCTAAGAGAATGCTGGCTATTAAGAGATGCAAGCATTTTGAACTGGGAGGAGATAAGAAGAGAAAGGGTCAAGTGATCCAGTTCTAGAGCGTCATATTTTGTTTTATTATATGACAATAAAATCATGATATATTAAAAAAAGAAAAAAAAGAAAAAAAGAAAGTGTTCCTCCCTTTACTCATCTCCTTTGCTGCTAAGATATGCCAACATTCTAAGTCTGTGGTTCTGTGTGGTTTAGATGCACCTTAAGGGCCAACTAGGTCTGCTCTGGGTCTGGCCCAGTCCTAGTAAGAACCACGGTGGATCCTCCAGGGTCTTTCCCTCCCCCTCTCCCCGCTAAGAAATGTGCTGCCGGCCTACTTGGGGGAAACAGACCCTGCTGCCTCTGACTCCAACCTCCCCCCGTACCACTCTGTTCCTTCTATGGATTTTATAGATTTCAAAGGGAATATTGAGCAATGGGGTGAGCCTTTGGAGGCAGAACTGTAAGAGCACTCCTTCAACCCCCACTCCAGGGGCTGAGAGGAAGCTTCTAAGAGGGAACCTGGAGGCTGGAGGACAGTGGCCAATGGCACCACTGTGTTTCCATCGGCAGCTGGGAGCTGGCACTTGGTCACCCTGCATCCTCCAGAGACACACGCGTTCCTCCTTCAGCCTTCCCCTTAGCCTGAGAGCTAACAAACCCCACAAAGCTTCTCCAACAACTAAAGGAAGCAAAATGAAGAAAACAGAAACCCCATCAAACACTGCGGTGCTCGGGGTGGAGGTTCAATGTTACGGACACACAGTGACTGTGCCTCTGTTTCGCCCCAGAGGAGGAGGGGAGGGGAGGGGAGGGAGGAGCTGAGAAACCGCGGCCCCACCAGGAGGTCATCACAGGCCCCAGCACCAGGCGCAGAGCCGCACTCCTCCGCAGGCCTGAGTGCGGGGTGGCCCAGAGGGACAAGAGTGGGCAAGGCGAGGTGTGGAAAGGGTTTCACGAATGATCCTTTAATTTTTCTTCAGCTCTGGCAGTCCTGCTATGATCAACACATTCCATTAATAGACATTACTGGGCCATTTAAGAAGTAGCAGATGCATTATTAATGTCATTTCGATGCAGTCAACAGGAAAAAGGAAAGCTCCTCTCCGTGGGACGCATTTCCAAGCCCATCAAAGCGCCCGAGGCCCATCTTAACTGATGGGTTGTTACTCATTATTTAGCTCTCACTCTACCAGGGGAACACTCTCCCGAGGCTTCAAACACTTGAAGGGTAAAGATTGCTTCTCCACTGGCCTCTGAAAACGATAAAGATTCGAAGTCAGGCCAACCACACCCACAGAGTAGCAACCACTCTTGACATGGACACCTGGGCGCAAGCTCACCTGTTCTTCCTCCTGCTTCTTGTAGCAGTTTCCTACAGAGACCTCATGAAATCCCTCCCTCCCTCCCTCCCTCCCACCCCCTGCTCTCCACTCTCAAGTTCACAGGGCTGTGGTGGTAATGAAACAAGAATGAGCAGGAAATCTTCACATAAACACTGTAAGGGGTGTGGCCATGATTCCTTGTACACGGTTCTGCAGATGCTCATTTTCCATTGCAACTTCTGTCCCCACCTGCCCCGGGACACACACATGGCTTCAGGCGTGGCTCACAAGCTTCATCACATCCTTCCCTTCCCAACCTCCGTGCCTTTGCCCTTCAGGGCTTCGAGGCTCAGCTTACAGGGGTCTATCTCCAGGAAAGCCTCCTGGATCCCTCTTTTTCTAAATCTCCAAAGGACAGGATCTGTGTGATTTACAGTCACCATTGGGTATGTATCTGGTTGATTGTTTAGGGCCATGAGGGCAGGAAAAGGCTTTACCACTCTGCCACCGGACCTTGAAGCAGGCAGTTGGGGAAGCTTGTAGAATAAGAGGAGGGAGGAGCCCTAACCGGTTTGGCTCAGTGGATAGAGCGTCTGCAAACTGAAGGGTCCCAGGTTTGATTCTGGTCAAGGGCATGCACCTTGGTTGCAGGCAAATCCCCAGTATGTGCAGGAGGCAGCTGATCAATGTTTCTCTCTCAATTATGTTTCTAACTATCCCTCTCCCTTCCTCTGTAAAAAATCAATAAAATATATTTTAAAAAAATAAAGAGGAGGGAGGGAGGGAGGGAGCAAGGAGGGAAGGAAGGAGATGGAAAGGGGAAGGAGGAGAGGAAGGAAGGGAGGTTGGATTGATTTCCTATCATCCTACCTCTGCCACTAGCCTGAATATTTAAAGTGTCAGGGGTAGGGTGACTGAGCATTTATTTTTGTGTGTATCCTATATAATAAAAGACTGATATGCACATTGACTGAGTCAGAGGCAGCAAGTGGGTGGCACCAGGCCAGCCAAGGTGGGTGCCAGCAGGCCGAAGGAGGCCAGACAGCAGCTTACCGGTAGGCCACTCCCTGGCTTA